GGCGCAACAGGCGGGTGTAGGCACGATATTCGATCGTGTGCTCTCGGAGCTAGTGTCGAAGATGCGCGAAATGGAAATGGACAGGACCGAGCTTGGATGTCTTAGGTGAGCGATCAAAGATACCCCTAACCCCCCCTCTCTTTCTCTCTCTCTCTCTCTCTCTCTCTCTCTCTCTCTCTCTCTCTCTCTCTCTCGATCTATCCTAATATCCTTTACTCTTCCTTCGTATTTTACAAGTCGGCTTGTTCTCGAAACTTGGAAAACAACATCCACATGATGTAAATCGCAAACGACAACAACTATGTATGGTGCCAACATATGTGTGGGATGTGAAAGCAAGACTTGAAGTGCAATTCCTCTGCTTTTATCCTTTTTCTTTTCCTTCTTGCCCCTGTATGCGAATATGATTATGTTGTATAGCGTATGATTATTACACAGATCCATTATTCTCTTCAATCCCGACGTGCGAGGCCTCAAGTCTGTCCAAGAGGTCAATTTGCTGCGCGAAAAAATCTACGCCGCTTTGGAGGAATACACTCGTATGTCCCGGCCGAACGATCCCGGCAGGTTCGCTAAATTGTTGCTTCGCCTGCCGTCCATCCGTTCGATCGGTCTCAAGTGCCTGGAGCACCTGTTCTTCTTCAAAGTGATCGGCGACTCACCGATCGACGATTTCCTCATGGAGATGCTGGAGTCGCAATCGGATCCTTAGGAGCAGAAGGTGTGCCGCGTCCTGGGGCACACCGACTTGTAAAAAAAAAAGAGGAAAATGACGACGACGACGACGACACAACAACAACAACAACAACAACAACAATAACAACAACAACAACAACAACGACGACGACGACGACGACGATGACGACGGCGACGGCGACGATAAAAGAACGTAAAACATAATTATCAGTTACGTACTTGACGTATAACCATTTCTTTTTTCTCATCCTTGCTGTGGATGATCCCTCCCGCAGATCGTCATTCGCGCGTCAAATGAAACGGAATTTACTTACTTTTTCTCACCGCGCGCGCGTGCGTGCGTGCGTGCGTGCGTGCGTGCGTGCGTGCGTGCGTGCGTGCGTGCGTGCGTGCGTGCGTGCGTGCATGCATGCGTGCGTTAATCCCCATCTTCCCTTTTCTCCTACCGCGTCCTGTTATTTATGATTACGTTAGAATTTAGCAACTTTCGTGTCCAATATAAGGAGGCGATCCTGGCCGATACGTGTAGACACGTGATAATAGTGGTGGCGGTATGCGTCAGTGTGTGCATGCGTGCGCACGCACGTACGCGCATGGGCGCGCGTGCGCGTGTGTTATGTATCTGCTGCGTGTGTCTGTCTGTGCGTTACTTGTGTAATAAGCATGTATACGCATCGCGTAATGCGCGATCGAGTGCAAATTCGACAGTTGCTGTCGATTCGCCGAAAAGCGAGTTAAATCTCTGTCCGGCGAGAAAACTGGCAGCTTCGTAAAACGTCGCGAGAAAAGAGAAGGGAATGATAGACAGAAATTTTAAGTCCTATATTTGGTAGATCAAACGATCGACACTTGGTACTGTCGACAACGTCAACGTTGTGTGCTCACTGTCGTGTGCGCGGTGGAGCGCTACGGATAGATAAAAATCCTTACAAATATCATTAAGAACAAATCGCTGCCTCTTTAGTCTGTGACATGTGTCGTGCCATCATCCGGACGAAGATATCTCGCAGCTGACGATCGATCCTTGTCTTGGACAGGCGGCGGATGGACTGATAGACAGACAGATGGATAAACAGACAAACAAACAGACACTGCGCCTTTGTCGAATAGCGCGTCTTTCGAGATCGTGCATGTTTCTGAAACGATTATGTCTTCTCTCTGCTTTAATTTTAACTTCCGGTCTCCTCCTCTCCCACCACCATTCCCCCCCCCTCTCTCTCTCTCTCTCTCTCTCTCTCTCTCTCTCTCCCTCTCTTCCCCTCTCCCTCTCTCTTTCTCGGCATTTCTTCTCATCCTCTCGACCATGTCGCCGCATATATGATGAATCGCTCCCGCGATCTCGTTTGTCTCGGCGATTTCGACGAAGACGCGCAGACTGTGTTCGCGAGTTCTCTGACATTTTTACATTCCAACTTTGCCCCGATTCGAATCGTTACTTTATAAGAGAATTATAATTTGCATATAGATTTATGCACGTATTTACATTAATATGCGCGGCCCTTGTGTGCGCGCGCGTTAATGATAATTTATTGTTTTGTATTTTAGAGTATAGGAAAGAAACTTACTGAGACTCATTATTAATTATATCGAACACGCATGGTAGCCTCCCCGCTCCCTCTTCCCTCCCACCCTTTAGTTCAGCAGCATGTGACAGAGTACTGTGAACGAAGTAGTGAAATTGCGAAAAACTAAAGCTCAAGTGTGTAAACCAAGTATCTACTTTCAAGATGTTTCAAACTGTTAGGGTTTACGCTTTATTTTTATTTTACCCTTTTTTTTTTTTTTTCCCCCTTTGAACACTTGCAGCGCTGGAATATGCCGTCTTCTGTATTTGGTACAAATTTGACATGGCAGCAAATAGAATAGGAATGTTAGACACATTTTCCTCAGTCATAGAATTTACTGGTATTAAGATTTGTTTTTTCCCGGTGAATGTTCAACGCACGACGAAAGATGACGAAAAAAAAGAAAAGAAAAAAGGAAGATATATATAGATAGAAAAGGAAAATAAAAGAGAAGAACGACGCGTAAGAGCTCTCGAACCTCTTGAAGAACGGACGTTTGTGTGTGCGAGCGCGCGCGCGCGAGATATGTAATTATTCTATAAATCTAGAGTAAGAATTAACTGATCGTGGACAGAATTAAGATAGAAACATACTCTCATTGTTAGTAATTTACAGAATGAAGTGTCATATGATTCGAGCTGACGGATCGGTGGATCTGTAAATTCGTACGAAACAGGGCGTGCTTGTTCGGCTGGTCACAATGAAACTTTATTGAATATTACGACATGTAAAGACGCATATATAGGATGCATATATATATATATATATATATATTTTTCTAATGACAATCCCTCTATCTCCGTCTCTACTTCCAAGAGTCGAATCAATGACGCTCGATTCACACGCAGTGAACAAAATTTCATAATTTCATATTGATATTATTACGTTGGGACCCGATTCGCATGAATGTCGAAACAATTATTAGCTGCACTTGGATATTGTTTATTGTACAATAATAATTGTATAATACAAATCTGTGAATCTAAGTTGGATAAGTTGAAAATAGATATATGAATACTCGCACGTGCCCGCGTGATTTCGTAATAAATTCTCAAAATCGAACGATTATATCGGAATGTAGTGTAACGTAAAGTGAATGACATAATATTTAAAATACGTACGTTCGCGTATGTAATATTTTTAATTTTTCTTCGTTTTGACCTGAGTAACGTGACAGAATGCATTTCGTCTCGTATATCGTACAAATACCTGTGACACTTCGCCGGACGCTTTCAGCTCCAATCATTGATACGACTTACTCTACTACTTTAGAAACCGTAAGGGAATGATCATACTTACTTCACAATAAAATATAAATTATGATAATATTATTATATATTATTAAACACATATTTCTATTTTTGCGTGAATGCCTACGATTGTTAGTTGTTGGTTATTGTTATCTACTTGATGAGAGTTTTTAATGTTATGCATACCGTGAAAAACAAACGCAATTATTAAATTCATACATTTTTTTTTTTTTTCTTATTCTATCGTGGAGTTAGTGTTCATTTCAGATGCCTGTTTTAATAGCATTGTTTCGACTGTCCACTGACAATGAGTTTATCTATACTAATGATGTAATCAACGCGGATACAAGAGCAATATCTCAAATGTGAGTCGACTTAATTTCTCAATGTGTAGTTCGAGTCACTTTTGATTTGTTGAGTAGGAGCGCAAGTTGTGAAGAACGAGATTCTATTGTCGCTTTTATGTATATTATTTGACCCGTGTACAATTGTTACTTCCGCATGTTATTTTTTATTGACGAAGAAAACCGCCTGACACCAAAATTACCTCTGAACAATCGCGCGATTACGCGATCACCTCTTCAAATTCCTTAAAATACGATACAAACGACGCTGTAAGTGACCATTTTTAGGATTGGAGGGCGCGAATGCTACCTGTGAATGAAGTTTCATATAAATATATAAATGTTAAAAAGGAAATATCTATACGTGTATGTGTGTGTGTGTGTGCGTGTGTGTGTGTGTGTGTGTGTGTGTGTGTGTGTGTGTGTGTGTGTGTGTGTCGTGTGTCGTGTGTCGTGCGCGTGCGTGTGTATATGCGTGTACGCGTGGTATGTGTGTGTACACACACGCACGCGTACACACACACACACACACACACACACACACATATATATGTACATACACAGATATATAATATATAAACCGAATTCTTTCGCAAATGATACAACAACCTCAGTAGTGATCAAGATAAAGAGGAAAAACGAAACAAAACAGAAAGAGTTGACAAAGATTCTGACAAACTAATGAAACCTATGTCTTGCGATCAGGCATTATACATAAGGTAAGAGGATTACACATAAGAGTGGTCTTTTTGAGATGTCGTGATGTCTATTAGAAAGCATAATTAAAAATAACACACTCACCGAGCTTCTCGCGTGTGAAGCATCGCACTCCCGAGAACTCCCGAGATCGTATACTTTAATGTTAAACTTAAAGAGAGAAGAACTGCTTTTTGCCATACTTCTTTGAAGTATCATAGAAATGGTACGATGCTCAAATTGTGTGTAGTAATTCTAGTTAACAACACAGTGTCCTAGAGCGGAAGAATTGGGTGCGCTGTATAATCTTTCTGTACAGTGAACGCAACGGGTAAACGATTACCTCTTTCTCGCGTATATATATATCCGTTGTGGTCTCTTCGCTTTTCGTCTTGTACTTATGCAAGTCCTGCGTTACATTTGTTTCCCTTGAGTCTTGTTGCATGTATCGTTGATCATTTCGAGAGATTTTAATGACTTCTTACACGCACGCTATCTTACGCGTATCCTTGTGTGACTTGTACGCATAAAGGATATCTTTAGTACTGAAACACCTTTTGTCGTTTCAGTAATCGTGAAACGAGCGACATTGCATCTTTCTGTAACATATTGAGAACTCCTACGCACCCATTCTACATAGATCAGTACAAATAAGTTTAATTAATGATAATAATAATTATTATTATATAATAACGATAATACAGTAATAATAATGATGATAATAGTAATGACGGTGATGATGATGATGATGATGACGATGATGATGATAACGATGATTATGATGATGATGATAATGGTAATAATAATAATAATAATAATAGTAACAACAATAGTAATAACAATAATACCGAAATAATGTTAATAGTATACATACCGTTTACTCTTGTCGCTCGCGTGTAAGGTATACCCGACTTAACAGATAGTACCAGATGTCCTACTAAAAATATTGCGTACTTTTAAAGAACTAAGCTATAAGCCAGTATGTTTTACATGTATATGCATAAACGTCGTACAATTTTATGTATCGGCAATCTAGTTAAGAGACGGTTAATAAGTTAACTCTCGTGTATAACTGCCACTATACGATCAAATATGATTTCGAATATTACCGTAAATATGATATTTCAGAGTTGCTCGTTTATTTCTTCTCACAAAAGAACATACGTTTGCGTGAGAAAAGCTTGTAGACGTTTGTTCATAATTTCAAATTAGATTCGTAAAATTGCGAGCAACAAGTATTAAAAAAGTATATATATATATATATATATATATATATATATATGTATGTATGTATATGTATATATATATATGTGTATATGTATATAAATCTCCGATTATATATGAAGCCGGACTTGACACTCGTCAATGAATTGTATATCGATAGGTGTTGAATTACGTGTAAACATTCCACTCTTTATGGATAAAATGTCAGGTCGACAAACGCATACGGATGCCATGATAAAATAACGATTCGTTTTCTTTCTTTTCCATCCATTTAATTCCATTGCTCCATTTTACATACAATTTCGAAGCACCGTGAATCAATATTAATTTATTTCGCTGACTTTAATAACCAACGATACTATGTATGGTTGTGCTCCGCGTAGATAGCAAAGCAATACAATTACACATTCGCACGCGCGCATGTGTGTGTGTGTGTGTATGGATGAGTGTATGCGCGCGTGCATCCACTCGAGTCAATTTCTTAATATTATTGTTTAAGCTGCAATTATGTCTTTGTTAATGTTATATAGTGGAACATTTAATTCGCGCGCATCTATTGTAGATTACGAAAAAGTTTGTCTACATACTTATATTACTACTTCTACTGCTGCTATCACACCACTACCACCATCACCAACACCAACATCAATACCATCACCAACATTACTATCATCAACACCAATACCACCACCAGCACCAACACTATCATTACCATCACCACCACCACCACCACTACCACTACCACCACCACCACCACCACCACTACTACTGCTGCTGCTGCTGCTGCTGCTGCTGCTGCTGCTGCTGCTGCTGCTCCTGTTACTACTACACTGCTACTACACTACTATTACTATTACTACTATTACACTACTAATGCTAATGCTAATGCTAATGATATTACTGCTACATTAGTATTATTACTGGTACTATTACTATATTACTAACACTACTACTACACTACTAATACTAATGCTAATACTACTGCTACTCTTACTGCTACTATTACCACTAAATTACCAAGATACGCTTTTGTAAATGTAAAAACACACACACACACCTTCTTCAAATAACGGTACGACGGAACATGTGCAAAGTATCATGTTCTGAGCGTCAAGTTCTCAGGTGAGGAGAGAGCGAATGTTTTAGGAGGACAGAGAGAGAGAGAGAGAGAGAGAGAGAGAGAGAGAGAGAGAGAGAGAGAGAGAGAGAGAGAGAGAGAGAGAGAGAGAGAGAGAGAGAGAGAGCGAGAGCGAGAGAGAAAGTAATATATTTACAGAAAACGCATTAACTACAAGGTTATATAGAATAATATGCAGAACCGGAAGCGAGAGAGAGAGAGAGAGAGAGAGAGAGAGAGAGAGAGAGAGAGAGAGAGAGAGAGAGAGAGAGAGAGGAAGAGAGGAAGAGAGTAACAGAGGACGAGAAATTGTTAACGGCAAGAATGTGCAAGAGTGTTGCTATGAGTGTACTTGTACAACAGTATGACTAGTAACAATCCCTGAGTAAAGAATTATAATGTACGGTTTCGCGCCAAGAGATAGATCTATTCTGACTTATCTAAATATAATATTTTTATGAAATGAAACCGAGTCGTTTTGTGCGTATGTGTATCGTGCGTGCGTATCATGTATGTGTATATATCATTTACCGATTTCCCTATTAAATCGATTATTCTCCCGTTGCGCGCTTCGTACGTTTAACGTGGATCAATATATCAAGGAGACACACACGGTCAATCAACTTTCTTCTCCAATATATATTACATTTTATTAATGGCAGACAGGTTTAACGCATGTTTTCATAACAATGTGTAACAGTTGTGTATCTGTTCCATATTGTTGCATTTTCAACAAATACAAACACGTTACTTTTCGTAATGTCATTCGCATCTCATTATAAAAACAAAAAAATCTATATGTATAAATTTAGCTTGGACATATCTCAAAGATCTTTCACAAGTCATACGTATCTTGTGGATCGTGAGGAGTAATCAAAGATGAAGAGAAGACATAAATCCATTTTGCTAGAGTCGAGAGAGAGAGAGAGAGAGAGAGAGAGAGAGAGAGAGAGAGAGAGAGAGGAAGGAAACAGATGCGAATGTTTTAAATAATTCAGAAAGAATGACAAAGAATAAAAATTATGAAAATTTTAATTTATTTCATGGATATTACCGAATATGTTTCAGAAATTCATCAATGACATTACAGACATTAACATGGTAATTGTAAACATTACACCATGGGATTGATGCGTGTCCGCTGCGGCTTCTTTTCCCAACTTCCATTTTTTCGATTTTTATAAATAAAATTGCCTAATGCGCTACTGGACGTAAAAATGAAAATAATGTAGCAGCTTTTTAAGGAAATAGTTTGCACATTCTCACAAGGAATATCCACATTCCTTGTCGTCTCTTCTCTTTTGTTACAGAATATGTACAATTACTTACAAAGAAATATATCACTGACAAACATTTTATTTAATGCACCGTTAGTCAACTGTAAATTTTTAAACTGAAGTTGGAAGAATTGTTTTACATTTTTTTAACTAAATTTCACGGCTTTCCAGCAGTGCGTACAGTCTTGATTCCAGTTTATCTGAAAAGCATACACAAGAATAGAACAACAGGATTTCTTTCCGTTTCATGATTGACAAAACAATGTGAATATTATTTCGTTATTTTGTTTGTCAAAGATGTCTGGTTGATATTAGACGCTACGCGTGGAAGGATGTCGCAGCGAGAATCTGATCGCCAATATGATCTAACATGTATGTGCAGCGACAAACATAATTGAGTATGTCAGTCACGAATTTACATGTATGCAAATTTCCAAACTTCGAGTCTACACATGATGTATGATACACAAATGGCATCAATGAATGAAATTATCAATAATTCATATAGTTATACCCGATGGATGACTTACAAAATTTGTCGATTTCTTGGATATCTAAATATTACTTAGAATTTCTCTTCTTCAAGACCATGCTTGAAAAACATAAGTACGGGCACAGACTCGCCGTCAATGTCACGGTACTCCATGAGGCCTACAATTCCCTCAATGTCTGACGATGTCCCAGTGAAAAATTGCAATTCTTTGAAACGTCCTAAGATATCCTTCATAACTTTGTTCATATTGGTTTTAAATACTTCCACCTCTTGGGGTGATTTCTCTTCGAGTCTCGCAACCAATCTGCAACGAAAAATTTATTAATAATAGAAAGATATATATTTTTACATATGTGTGTGTGTGTGTGTGTGTGTGTATGTAAAATAAAGAATTATAATCCTTAATTTTAGAATAATGCTTTGTCATACATTAAGGGATACCTACTTTTTCATGTAGTCCTTGAGGTACAGCGTATAAGACTTTTTATCCCCAAAGGCAAAACTCTCCTGAAGTCTATGATTCAAGATAACATCAACACCAGACTCTACCACCTCATCGGTACCTTCATTGGCTTCTTCAGTAGAAGGATTAAAGCCAGCTATATCAATTTCTCCTGATTTACGAGTGACTAACTAGAAAACAATCGGATATTAGACTATCGCGTATACGAAGTACTACTATTTAATGAAAGACGCACACTTGCATGGACTTACCTTACCGTATACTTCGTACAGTACATCGTCCACCAATTTGATTTTATAAGCATCAGAGAACATTTCATCTCCTAAAAATATGCGTACAAGAATGTGAGCAAGTAACTATTACGATTTCGCAGACGCAGGTGTATAATTTGGCGCGAAATGTATGCCAAATATTAAAATGCAGTAATAGAGAATCACACGGGTTAACAGATTAGTGGAGCAGTATACTCGAGAACATTCAAAGAGGTTAGGAATTTCGTGACTGGAAATTTCACGTTCAATAACACGAGAGATCCTTATGATTGAATATAATCGTGATGAGTCGCAATATAATATCGCAGCTGTACACTTTGATTGCGCATGAACAAGAATACAATACAAAATACATGAGTATTTCCAGTTCCAATCATCTTTGTTCGAGCATCGTGGATGTCAAGGTGCCGTCGTTGACTCGTATCGCAGACAGTCTAGACGTCATGAACGAAAAATATTCGGCTTATGGAATCATGCGAACCATTTTGTGTTTACTTACCGGTGAAAATATCTTTGTAAATCTTCATTTTAGAAGATGGAAAAAGATTCGCACGCAGCCCGAACTAAACAAGATACGAACACTCGAGAGTGCGTGGCGCAAAAGAGGTAACGTGCACCGAGCGTTGACCGATCAGAGATAGTATCGTTTGATGCGCCCTCTTTTCGCGCATGCGCAACTAATTTGTCACAGTACTTGGAAGTCTGTTCCGAAATTGGTTTCGGAAACTTTGGTTTTAGTTATAAGGTTGGTGTAGGTCCTAACTTGGACACGTTTCGTAATTGGTCGACTGATGTTGGCTGCGTTCCGATATTCACTGTCAGCACTTTTGAAAATTTATAGTATACATGACATAAACTATATGTATTTTCAGTACTGGCAGTGAATATCGGAACGCAGCCTATATCATCGCTTTTCAATTTTGGCCTCCGGTTCTCGTGGGCCTCGGGGCCCTCCTTACATTACCTCGTCGGTGCCCTCGCCGTGCATCGCCTGCACCGGCAACAATTGCTAGCTGTATTATCTTGAGAGTAGCCGGCTGAAGCAGCCGGTATTATCATCGCTCTTCAATTACCCCTGTGGGCCCTTTGGTATTCCCTTGGCTGATACGAAAATTTACCTAGGGCTGTCAGTCTTTATATTATCTCGTCGGTGATTCAACCAATCAGTCCGTGAATGTCGGACCACCACCCTTCGGGGTCATGCACTGAGTCGGAGTTAGCAGTCTAGTTGTACTATAGAAGTCTGTGGCTAAATCCCAATGGACCAATGGTCTCTATCAGTATATCTCTCTCTCTCGTTGGTGGTAGGTGATACATATCTGTAATTTCCTATATTTTTTCTTTTAAACACCATGTTTCTCTAGGCAATAATTTTAGCGCCTTACATTATTTCCGAGGTCGATATATAGCCGGATTTTGTAATTAGGTCCTTCAATGCCAGGATGACCACTGGCAAAGACGACGATGCTTTTTGGTACAGCAGCGAGACACGGTCGTTCTGTTTTGAAAATAATGAGGTTATAATTAAAACAATAAAAATATTTCAAATTGACTTTTTTTTCTCGTTTATCAGAACCTGTGTGTGTGTGTGTGTGTGTGTGTGTGGAGTTTTTAAATTATATGATAATTTTGAACATACAATGTGTGCCATTTACTGTAGATAATATGTACATATATATGATACACACATACCACACACGCATATATACATATTTATATTTATATATTTAACGATTATATATACAGGTGGATCAGTTATTTGGAATATCAAAAAATGACACAGAGAAATTGTGGGCTGGCATTCCCAGGACAACTATTTCAGAAAGTAATGTCAAATCCAGTGATGATTTCCAAACTACAAAGCCTCTTCTTTCAGTTATATCCGAGAAGACTCTTTCACGTGGTAAATGAAAGATGCAACATAAGTTTGGCCTCCAAAATGTTTTGAGCATTTTTAAATTCACTTAACGTCGATAAGGATGTTTAATATGAAACATTTGAATGTTTGTTTAAATATCAGTTGTTGTTTCTTATATAGTACCCATAGAATATAATTTTCCTGTAATTTCCTAATTAAGGCTGTACAATATAATAACATTCAATTTCATTTTGTAGTTTTAGCTTTGAATGAGGACAAATTGCAGAATTTATATCCAGAAACATCTGTTGCCCAGACAGATATCACACTGAGGAGAATTTTGCTCGGTCAACCGTATTCATTGGAACAGTATAGTTCACTCGCCAGTAAAACTGCCCTGCTAGATGCTGCCATTTCAAGTGGAGATGGAAATGCCATTTTAGTAGTATGAACTCTTTCCTCAATAAAGTAATATGAAACCTTGCAATATAATATCAGCTATATGCCTTGCTGTTCTAGCTTACCATGTTCTATCAATAACCTGTTTTATGTCGCAGATAGTTTTATTCCTCACAAGGACCTTGAAACGCTCACTGGTCCAGAGATTACTAGCGGACAGACCAGATGCTGTAAATGTATATATACATTACCTCTTTATAAGACTGCAAACAAACGAGATAACTGACATTTTGACGTACGTAATTTTTCTAAAATGCCACACTGGTGACTCGTCTCACTGTTTCTTTCTCTTATGTTTGATATTTTACAGTATGCTTGGGCATTCCTCAACTGCTGCAGTAAGTGTTACTCTGTGAATCCTATGCAATATATTAGCAGATGTATGAAATAAATCGCTAGCTTTACCAATCTTTTGTGGTTTATTATAGATGAAGAATCTTCATATTATTATAAGAAACATAAAAGAGCCAAATACACTGCTGCAAAAACTACACAACTGCTATAAGGCACATTTTGCTATATTACCTGACTGTAAAGAGGCTACGTTTCTCCATTCTTACATTAAACTATTGGGTATGTTTGTAATATTTTATTCTAATGCATATAATGATAAAGTATTGTTTGTGATTCTTAAATGTAATTGCAAATTATTTATATCCTCAGAATGGCAAATGACGATTAAGCAGAAGAAAGATAATGAGGGACTTGCATTAAACTCTTCGGTTCTAGAATCTCTGCAGTATGCGTGTAAATATCACTGCAGTACTCCAGAAAATTTCGTCGTGATATCACCTACGACTGTCTCTCGTGATCATGACGTTTCTCCTAGACTGTATCAAAAGATCTCCTTGCAAGTTAAAGCTACATCTGCCTCGTGGGATGATATCGATCGTCTGCTTCTAACCAAGGTAATCAATCACACACATTCTCCTTTATCCCGTCAGTCAGAAAAGGAAAAATTATTCGGATATCGAAATTTCATTTTATACCGAGTCAATTATATTTTAGGGAATGCTGGGAAATACAAAACTGCAAACGTGTTTACATATAGAGGATGTTTTGAAAGTATTGCACAAGCACAATGCGCCGTATGCTGTTCTCGAAAAGTATTTAAAATTCGTCGATAATTTGGAGAAACGACTAGAATTGGCAAAGAAATTGTCTTGTCATACGATAGTCATTGATGTATGTACGAGAATATAAAATAATAAGAAATCACAAATGAAGAGAGACAGAGAGAGAGAGAGAGAGAGAGAGAGAGAGAATTATGGTAGTAGAAAAAAATTATGCATTTGTAAATTTTACAGATATTCGTACAACAAGGAGATCGTGCGGTACTCATAGATTATAAAGCAAAATTGCAATCCCAGTCGGAGGAGTATTTTTACGCTGAGAGCGCTTTACGTTTGCCTCATGTCAAGTGGAAAAGTTAAGTTTTTCTTGTATATGTGTATATAGGAGGGATAGGATAGGCTGTCGCAAATAATATAAATTATGTAATTATGTTGTCTTAAAATATAGTAAAATATAATACATTTGAATACAATACACTGGCAGATATAAAACTGAAAAGATTCCTACATCGTTATCGATTTAGATTTTCATTGTATTTTCTAGAGAAAACTGAATTATCCCGAGATCGAGAACCATATCGAGTACAATTTCGCACGGAGCATCTGCTCCGCATAGTAGTACGAAAACATATGTAGCGCAGTCGTCGTCGTCGTCGTCGTCGTCGTACGATGTGAACTCGGCTTGAAACAGCGCAAGCGTAGCGCTCGATAATCACGTTTTTATTTCTGGTTATTGTTGTCTAGCGATCTCGACAGGTCTCTCTCGAATCGTCGCATCGCTTTACGCGACGGCACCGGTGAGAAATTTTCCCTCACGTTGCCTCACACACCACACACACACACACACACACACACGTGTCTCGCGTGTCTTCTTCAAACTCGCTTTTCGAACTCGAAACAGCCTATCAGCCGGCAACGATCTGACCCATCGGGAAGATCGGATATACCGTCCGCGGCCGCGGCGGTGCGTGTGGACTGTGGAGCGGCGTGCGCGACACCACGCGCCGACCAATCGCATCTGGACGGAACCGTTAGAAGTTTCCGTTGTGTGCGCGTTTGAACGATCTAGTGCACATTTGTCATCTGGGTGCGTGAACCACTCCCGTTCGTTCCCCGTTACCGCGTTTTCACGAACCTCGGTAAGTATACGGATACGCGATTATGTGTACGGTTATGTGCGGCCACGTTCTCGTCAAGTACGTACGGTTAAGTAAGGGCGAGCGAGACGGGTCGATCGACGAGAGAGAGCGATCAGACGTACTCCGAAATCACGACGACGTACCGATAAAGAATGCCGAATATGTCGACTGCGAGTTTCGCGAATGCAAAAGAAACAAAAAGAAACGGACAGAATATTCCGATCTTTCGGCAGCTCGTCGAGCTTTGACTGCTCGTTCGTCTTATCGCTCGTTGATCGCTCACCGAATCGCCGATGCTTCAGCATGTTTATGCCTTTTTTTCTTGTCTCCCGTTTTCTTCTTTCTCTTTTCTCCGATCTGAGTTACACTTTCTGCACTTTCTTGCGTACTTTTTTCTTTTTCTTCTCCCTTCTCTCATTTTCTCGCGAATGATCTTGAGCGTATGCTCGTTTCGTTTCAAGTGCAGAAGGTGCGATATGGCAGTACAAACGGCATGAAACGGCATATCAAGTCTGAATTGTTGTCGAAAATCTTGCGTGGCTGTTTTATTTATACGCGCAATTTGTGCAGACAGGAACTTTCGGAATCACTTTCCACACTGTTTGTAAGCTAACAACAATTACGATCAATCGTGGGGAAAGAAAGCTATGCTTGTTGTTATTACATTTTGAAAGCTTCTGTGATAGAATGTCATTGATGCGTAAAATTGAAACGCTGCACCAACGCTGTGGTAGATTACTCTGCGCGACAATCTTATTACGTATCACAAGTATTGAGACACGGTGTACGTGTCTGTATTTATGTACATTTATGTACACTTAACATTTTCGAACTTCCAGTTAAAACAAACGGAGCAACATGGCTGTTAACGTGTACGCCACAAACATGACATCTGACAACCTTAGTCGCCACGACATGCTGGCTTGGGTAAACGACTGTCTCCAGTCGTCGTTCACCAAAATTGAGGAGCTGTGTACTGGAGCAGTCTACTGCCAGTTCATGGACATGTTGTTCCCTGGCAGTGTACCTCTGAAAAGGGTCAAATTCAAGACCAACTTGGAACATGAATACATACAGAATTTCAAAATCCTTCAAGGTGGCTTCAAAAAGATGAATGTGGACAAGGTAAGCGCAAGACTTGACTGTTTCCCCCGTATACAGACCGGTAAACCAGAGCGGAGAGAGCAGAGGCAAACGAGCTGAGACTTGTTTGCCAATCAGACAGAACGACGAATATATATGATAGATGCAAAAGTGCTACGCTGCAGAGACAAATGATTAATTGTAACAATTGAATATTTCAAACTTTGTTTTGTATTTTGCTCTATACATATGATGATACAATTTGCATGTACATGTGTACATATATATACATACATACATACATACATACATACTTGTGTGTGTGTGTGTGTGTGTGTGTGTGTGTGTGTGTGTGATATGTATCTTTCGTTGTATCTGTGAATAATTGCTGTGATTTCGTGATCGGTAACAGCAATGTAACTTACAAAGATTAAGGAAAAATGTACGCTCTCAAGGGACGCAGTGCACATCTCACACGAATTGACATTACGATAAACACGGACAATTTTTATTCATTAAATAGCACACAAAGGTTGTTTTAGACGAGTAGCTAGAGGTAAGATGTCGTGTGATATGCGCGCGCTATGTAAAGAGCGCGTATTACCCATTAAACATTAAAAATAACATTGTCCCGTGCGATGTGCGATAGTATAGTTGCGTGAACAACCAATGTGGACGATATTGTAATGACACAGCCGTGAAAATGGTTCAGGTAATACCAGTGGACAAGCTGATAAAAGGGCGCTTTCAAGACAACTTTGAGTTTCTGCAGTGGTTCAAAAAGTTTTTCGATGCTAATTACGACGGTCGTGAGTACGAGGCTTACGAAGCGCGTAACTGCATACCGCTGGGTTCCATCATCGACGGAACGCATAATCTGTCGAATCCGCAGTTGGTGCCGTTGCCACCGCAATTAAAGCAGCCGCAAATGCAACAAAAACACATACAGCAACGTAACAGTGTCCCGCGACAGCAGCAGGGTATATCTGCTTGCAGTCTCGATTTTACGCGGCCGCTTCTTGCATGCTGTTATTCGTGCAAATCTGCACGAATTGGAAGGAAAAGATCCGATTTGTTTGTTTACGACTGCCGTAACTGAAAACCAGAAAAGAAAAAAGAAAAAGAAAAACTGCGTATCGGTCCTTTCCCTTCCAATAATGTCATCACATTATACCATCGGTAGCAAACAATTTTATGTAATCTTCGGTTTATGCACATTCAAATGTGAAGCTCTTTTCGCAGCGTACACGCAAACACATACTTCGTATGCACTCTTTTAATTCCACGCGTCATAAACATGCCGAAATGCAAGATAGATGTAGAAATAGACGCACAAACATCTGTGGCACGATTTTTAAAATAGACACATAAATGTATAGAATAGGATCTTGAATGTTTATGCCCTGTATTTGTGTCCTATTTTATTATAAGCCGAGAGAGAGAAAAGCTTTTTCGCAACTGTTTATTCTTTTAACAGCCTATATATGGGCTTGTGCAAGCAAGGTGAGATGTATCGCGGATTAGGAAACGGGATGAGGAATTGGACTTGTTCGCCCTTTTACCTAATACTCGTTTCGATTAGCACTATCTCGTCGTTATCTTCAATTGAGAAAAATCTAATATCTTTAAATTTTCATAATGTGCTGCGCACGCACACATCACATATATGTGTGTGTGTGTGTGTGTGTGTGTATTATATATATATATATATATATATATATATATACAAATTATATAAATACGATATATATATATATATATATATCGTCCCTTCAACGCGACTATACATATTTGTTTTATTTTACATATTTGTTTTGCGCACATACATACGCACCCACACCTTCCGCTCCTCATTTGCAGATTGTACCAATTGATAGGCTGGTGAAAGGCAGGTTCCAAGACAACTTTGAGTTTTTACAATGGTTCAAGAAGTTCTTTGACGCAAACTACTCGGGAGCAGAGCCGTACGATGCGCTTGCAATGCGAGGAGGGGAGCCTATGGGTAGTGGTGGAAGTAATGCACCCCGTGGTTCTAACGTGAAACGTACTTCTCCACGTGAAACAGTAACTTCGACTAAATCCGCTGCCCCTCGTACTGGTACATCACATTTCATGACTTTCCTCTCTGATAGAAAGAAATTTGATAGGCTAACCATTAAACTGAATAGGATCTGACAGAACAGATGGTTTTCTTTTTTTTTCCTTTTTTTTTTCCCCCCCCCCCCAAGTGTAACCACAAACTTATATATTAACACGAATTTTTACTAATCAATCATTGATAATACACGTATTTGTTTGTTTTGCGCGACGTGCACCGCGAAAATCTAATCTGACGAAATCTTCCTATTTATCAGGCCAGTCAATTTATTAATCAGACTGAACGTCGAGTCGATGGTATTTATATAATTTTTTTTGCTGTCATATCGCTTTGGAAACCTTTGTGATACGTTGAAATTGAATTTACGGGAATGTTTCCCATTGCTGATTGATATCTCGACAAACGTTCCGGTTATTGTGTCATGTCATTCGAACCGATATGCCCTAATAATTCGAAATGAAATTTGCCTGTAGGTGAGGGACATCCATCTTCGATGCGCGCAGATAGTGCAAACACATTAGGTGAAATATGACATCTCTCTCTCTCTCTCTCTTTCTCTCTCTCACATTTTTTTTTTTTTTTTATTCATTATAATTCTCGTCACTTGTGCTTTTTGCTTCTTTGAATTCTGAATATGTTTCAACGCATTGGCTTGACAACAGTACAGAAGACAAATTATATGGTTCCAGCAATTTGTTAGTAGCCGAATACTCTATCAAAGTGTGATATTTCTATTTTGTTCTATGTTTTGTTTACTCTGACACGCGAAAAAACATACCGAAACTGGGCGGGCAAGTAAACCGGAAAATGAGAGATATCTTCATGTTATAAAGATATAGTTGCGATATTATTCCCTTGTAAATCTCGCATATAATTACAGTAGCCTTCCACTGGTCTATGTTACTCAGTCTATCTATTTCTAGTTACCTATTACTATCAAACACTCTACATATACACACATACACACGCGTGTTACTGTAGAAATAAATAAATGCGAATTATCGTTTCATCTTTTGGGAGCACTTGCCTAGAGTAGTTTTCTATCGTTATATACCGATGAACCGATCTTTGCCTTCTTTCTATTTCTCTGTCTCTCTCTTTTCTTTCCTTTGTACATGTTTCTTTCCTTGTAAGACTGATCTACTATATACCACGATTGTCACAAATACGCACAATGTTGTGCATGTTTTTGAGCTAGATTTTTGCATGCATCGTTTTGCTTTCCATAATGTAGCTGCTCTTTTATATCTATACTACATTTAAATAGCTTCGTCAATTTTCGCGATATAAATAAATCGTTCTAATACCATTTTATAAAACTCTACAAATAATCAACATTACATTTTGTAAAGTTTAATGTTAACATATAATTTTCTTGATCTAGTAAATAAGCCTCAACCGTACCGTGCGTCACCCAAGAGCACCGTGGTCGGCAATCGTGGTGACACTGGAAAAATCGAGGAACTTAGCGCACAAGTACGACAGGATCGTTCCGATCGACGATTCTTTATAGATACAAATATTTGCAATTACGTATATTTCTCATCACGTGTCCTTTAACAAAAGTTTTGTACGAAATATTTCAGTTGGTCGAGTTGAAAATGTCGGTCGAAGGTTTGGAGAAAGAGAGGGACTTCTATTTCGGGAAATTACGCGACATAGAAGTGATGTGCCAAGACTGCGACAACGGCGATCCTCCACCTATTATACAGAAAATTTTAGAAGTCCTTTATGCAACAGAGGTAAAATTTACATTATTTCTCTGCTTCGTCTGTAAACAGGAGAAGTATAATGCATACGATATAGGAACAAAAAAAAAAGGAAAAAAAATCATTCGTTTACATATGGATGGGTTCAAAGAATAAAATAGTATACGTATATTGCTTATGCAGACACATACACACACACACACACACACAAACGCGCGCGCGCGCGCACACACACACACACACACACACACACACACACACACACACACACACACACACACACACACGCACGCACGCACGTATATTAGAGAGATAATTTTTATCGCTTCATCCTGTACATTCGCTTTGTTGCGGTGTTACCGAGTTTGTTGAATTTTATATAAAACATGAGAGCTAAAATTATTGACGTTTATTGACGTTAAAAGACGTTTAACATATTCCAACTACTTTCGATATTTTTAGCGATCTCGCTATGCATTGTTCTATATGTATATTTTTTTCTCTATGTGTAAACGGAGTTGTACACAAACACACGCGCGCGTGCTGTTTTGATAATGAATATCGGCCGATATCTAAGTATACAAGACTACGTGATACAATGATTATTCCAGGAATTAAGAGATGACGAGAAAGCTGCAAATGAAACTTATTAGCGTCTTTTTTTTACATTTTCATAACAGGCTCGTTCTTGATGATAAGGTAATGCTACTTTAGCTAAACATTTTTGGGCGTTTTTGATTGGTCGTATTTTGATAATTAACATGCAACCTTGGAAGTGTGTGAAGTGAAATCGGTACGGTATGACGTTGAAAATGCATTTGCGCTTGATTTTGTTCTGTCCGGTTCTGTCTTGTTTAATCTTTCGACTTGGAGCTTCCTTTAGTGTGTCGCTATATTCTCAATTAATCGCACGATCGTACACCACATACGTATCATAGATATCAGTAGTGTTCTTTTCTTTTTTCTTTCTTTTTACAGCCCTCATGTTTTTATACATTTTATGTGTATATTTACACATATACGCAAAGATTCTTAGGAGGAATATGATACATCATAGTTATTACTTGAGATATTGTGCAAATTTTTTTTCCTTTTTACTTCTTAACAACTTAACACAATATCTATACAAGATCCAGCTTTCGTATTTCGAATTGTTATGTTTGTCGTACACGTTCGTCTTCTTCGTTGAATTAACATTGGTACACGGTACACATATTTTTGTTACTTGTCGACGAAAAGTTATAACGTAACGTGAAATGCAGAAAAATTATGCACATCTGAATGTAAATATGTATTTGCCAGACCCACGCGTGTTAGACTTTTATCCTCCTTCGACTGTCGAAGGCGAGATACATTATTTATAATTCGCGACTGTATAAGCGAAAGAATATTTTTTGAATGAATAAATTATCCGACATCTGATTTTGTCTCTTTAGGATGGTTTCGCACCGCCCGAGGAATTGGAAGGCGACGGACTCGCGCCCGACGACGAGGAGGAATATTAACCTTTTTTATTTACGGATGTACTCGCGAGAACAGCAGCAAATTATCCAAGTGCGTTTCAGTTTACCATGTCTGTGAGCCAGTACCAGTACCCCTTGCATAATTATTAAGCTACTTTACATAGCAGACATACATCAGCAGGTAGCAAACTGTGCGTCCGTCTTGTTGATGAAATTCTCACCGAAATCATTAAGAATCGCGCACGGCATTAGGATAGGAATAACTCGTGTAGTGCACTTGAATAACTTGTTCTTTATGGCCGTTGACGAAGGGGAGAAGCGAGAAAGATAGAGAGACGAGAGACGAGAGAGAGAGAGAGAGGGAGAGAAAAGGGAAGGGAGAAAAGAGAGGAAAGAAAAGAAAGAAATTGATTAGTAATCTTTTACAAGATATTACAATTCCTTATTACGTCACAAGCGATAGAGTTCCGAAGAATCAACGACTCTCGAATCGTCGCAAAGATCCGTGGGTACCGATATCTTGCAAAGTTATCCGCATCCATCCGCTATATTGTTACGCAACGGCGATTTACGTTACATGTACACATCTTTTTTAATGCGTGTTTTGTTTGTAAATGTATTAAGTTTGTCGAGTCAACTCGAAATTCCCGTCAATCCTTATTGCCTTGAAAGAGCTATATTATTCGTAGCTTCTATCCGAAATGTTATACCCGCTGAGACAGAGCTGTTCGATTTGTTCAAGTCGTTTTCTACGCGCAATGTAAATGGCTGGCGCATTCGGTGGTTCTCGCGCGGAGTAGTAGATTCTCCTGTCGGAGCGAAACAATGCATCCCCCTATCATCATGTTAGTGATTAAAATTTAATTCCGCTTATTGATATTCTAATACGTGTCTCATCGCGGAAAAGAGAAAATAGAAAAAGAAGAAAGGAAAAAAAAAACAGACAAAAAAAGAAGGAAAGAGAAGAAAGATATGCTACTGTATAATACATCCGTAGAACAACGTACGAACAACATCCGAGCATACTCTAATTTTGGTAAATTAGACAGTGTGCGCTTCATGAAAGCATATTGTGAGACAAAACGGTACGCTTATGCATCGATCACTGAATTGTAAGATTGTGAAAGACTAATTAAAGTTAGAACTCGATATATCGAATGATCCGTCTATATTAACGTTTATCCCGTACAAATCGATTCCAGGAAAGAAACCATCACGTTCTCTCTCGCGAATAAGAATGGCCTTAAATCGACGAGATTTGAATTTGAATTTGAGATTTCGGAGAAAGATACGGAGAGAAAGAGAGAATCGAGCGCGAAGCTCTTCTTCGAGATATTTATCTCGAAAGAAGCAACGAGACAAATGCGCGACTATATTGCTGAAATCACTTTTGCAAAAGGGAATGAAGGAAGGAGGGAAACTGTAAAATTGTATGTTTTTGGAGAGCAGGGACACACACACACGAATGAAAGACAACGAAAACGAAAGAGAGTTTACGCGACACGTAGACGCGCTCTTACGAGCGCTCTCACATGTCTCCACATTAACGTTTTCACGCGTGTGCTTTACTCGTTACGAGATGAGGTCAATCACAAACTGATCGTAGGCGATCGTGAGAATACCGAGCGAAAAGAGTGTGGTGATCGTTTGTCTAGAATATAATTTGCACTGCGTACGCGACTCTCGCGACTCAAATTGCCGGCTTTCGTGGGATACACCTTGGATATGATACACTTGCGCTCCGTTTGTCGCTCTATATGTGCGCGCATAAATGTGCTTCGAAATTTGAACTTTTAATGCCGATGTAATAAACGTTCAATAAAATCCATCTGAATGCAAATCGTTTTCATAAAGAGCCTTGCGCGGCGACCACGAGTGTCGATAGTGTCTCTCTGATTCAGATCTGATCGCTCAGTCGGCGTCATTAATTGTTTCCGACCCTCTCGACTGAGCGCCTGCAATCAAGGAGCACCTGCTGCTCAATGAGATTCGACAGAAATGTATCTCGAGATTCACGCGATGAGAGACGCGCGCGGCCGCCAAGTATTGTCTCTCGACGTGCCGTAAGTGATGCGCGTACAATAAAGTAGGAACGGAGACGGTCGTGAACGTCGACCTGCTCGTCATTAACCAAGGCGAGAGATATGCTCCGGCCAAAGGTCCGCGATGCGCGCTCGTAAGCGCGCATTCTTCTCTGCCTCTCGGCTCCCGGCATTTTCACAGTCGCCGAGGGAGCCGCGGTTCCGTGCTGCACGCGCGTCCGACTTTTTCAGCCTCATCGATAAGGAACGCCCGCGCGCGCGCGCGCGGCATCCCGCGACGTCGCGCCGCTTCGTCGGCACGAAGACGAAGACGAAGAGCGCTGCTTCCAGGATCGCCCTGCGATAGTCGACGCCGAGGATCATCGCTGGGTAGAATCGCATCGTTGTCGCGATTCTAGTCTACCGCGTCTTCGACGGGGTCACGAGACGGGGGAGAGAGTTCATCGAGAGAAGGTACATCAGGTATAAAGTATCTCACTCGGACACACGCAAGTTCCACGCAAGGGAGAGAACAATCTCTCGATTCAGTATTTTAGCATTTGTTTTTTTTTTTTTTTTTTCTAACGAGCGAAATTGTACGTGCTCTTTGACATAATTTTACACTTCGATCGCAATCATCAATATCGAAGAGCGAGAGCATGAATTTGGCAATATATAGGCAGAGTGTTTCTGAAAGATAATTAGAGGCGCGAGACACTGCTTTCACCGTGTCTCTTGATAAGTATTGTAATAGCATCGAGATCACAGTTGGAGATTTATATATTGACCAATTTGCGATGCTATTGTCAAATTTGTCCTTTGCGACATAAACATTATAAAAACTCGCTAATGTCGTGGAATGAAGTCTCTGTACTGATTGTGATTTTAGTGTACCCTGGTATCTCTCTCGAGACAGACATACGGTGAGTTGTAGAATCAGTAACGTGTACGGGGCAGAAAGAAAGGAAATTTGCGTTCCGTTATTAATTCCGTATAAAATAATGCTTCGTATTGAGCAATCGCGTACAACGTTTACAAACTATTGTTCATCGTGTGATCGCCGTGATTACTGCTAAATAATACAGCTGCGGAGACAAGATGTGTCTGCGAGCGATTACAATAACACGACCTCGTGTGCGTGCGTGCGTGCGTGCGTGCGTGCGTGCGTGCGTGCGTGCGTGCGTGCGTGTGTGTGTGTGTGTGCGTGTGTGTGCGTGTGTGTGCGTGTGTGTGTGTGTGTGTGTGTGTGTGTGTGTGTGTGTGTGTGTGTGTGTGTGTATGCCTCGTATACACGAATATTTATATAATTTGTAAGAATCCTTTTTGTTACCAATGGTGGTAGGGTGTAGCCGCGTTCTGCGTTATAACAATTTGTAACAATCTAGATGTTACGTATATTTTTTTAGAAAACTATTGAAAAATACTTTGCTTCTCATCGTTCGAAATTCGTTGATTAATTCGCGCGAGTGGACACGCGCATGGAGAAGACCAATTTGACTCTTTTCTCTTCTTTTTCTTTTTTTTCCTCTTTCGTCCGACCGATACGAGGCGGATTTGACGGTCAACAGGAGAGCCGCCGCGCCAAATAAAATGAAAACACGATAAAAGCCAAAAGGACAAACATCGTGGACTGGTCGGATAACGAAGTGACGCGACCAGTGCAAATGCGCGCGCGCGCGGGTAAGATCCATTAAGCGGCGTTCAGTATTCGCTAGACAAACGATACAGACGATAATAAAGACGGAAGTCTTTTATTATCGTCTAGCACGTGTCGGGCTAAAGCTCTGCCTTACGTTGCGTTGCGTTGTTTCGCCTCGTTCATTTCATCTCGTTCGAACGCGAATGAAGTTTATCGACGCGACGCTCGTCAATTTTCAACATCTTGTCGTTCAATCTCGCGCGCGCGCACGGAACTTGCACTTGGCCGCGAATTTTAGTCGGAAACAAATTACTCCGCGCGGTATCCCTGGCTAATATCGCTGGCTTCGAGCCGTGTGAGGAAAGCTACATTAAATTGGCTTTATCGATTAGGTTACATGAACTTTGTATGTATGCCGGGAAAATGTCACTGATAAAGCGGTTTAAAAAAACTGCTTGACCAATGAATTATTTTCATCAATCGTGTACACACACGCGGATTGCGACGACCTGTCATTGAGGATTGTCTTTGCGTCTACAAAGACGATTCCAGACGTCTATTTCAATACGAAAGTCGATAGACGCAAATCAATAAATTAATAAACTCGAGAGATCAAGCGAGAATATTTCGACGAGGCGTTTGCTGCGTCCCTTTATTTATTGCAAGGACTGCGAGAGAGAGAGAGAGAGAGAGAGAGAGAGAGAGAGAGAGAGAGAGAGAGAGAGAATGATAGTAACTACTATTACTATGTTCCATGTTGGTCTCTCCTTTCCTTCTCGTTTCGTCAATAAATGCGCAATCACGCAGGCTTGTATCTTCGGGCCGTGGAAGTAAGAGGAATTGCTCATGAATATCAATTCAGAATTTCATCGCTTTTGACACTTTAGCACGTAAAGTATTACGACTTGAATGAAAGAAAAATTTTCATTCAGTCTTCCCCTTGTGTTGTTGCAACGAAGAATTCAGCTTGGAGCATATCGAATAATAATAAATAAATATAATAATATAAGATAAGAAAGAAAAATTCAATTTCGCGCACGACTCGACTATCGCGATGAGATTTGAGGAGAGATTCTGAAAAAGGTGGTGCTCTCGTCGTTATCAAGATTTTCACGTAAATTTCCTATGAAATTTACGCCGATACGCTCGCATGTGTGTGTGTGTGTGTGTGTGTGTGTGTGTGTGTTGGCTCACACGAAAGGTTTGGTGGAAACCTGCCTCGCGCACGCAAATTAAAGCATCCCCTGGCGATGAAAAACTCGCGAAACGTAGCTCACCGCAGCATATGTATATCCTCACCTCAGAGAACGAGAGATGGCTAAATCGGTCTCTCAGCGGTGATGTTGTGTTTCGCGCGGTGAGAATAACTACGCTATTATATATATATATATATATATATATATATATGGGAGTTTCTGTGCGCGACGTCCCGTCTGATAAGACGAGGTCGCGCCTCCTCGATAGCGCCTCCTTATCGTCGAGTTTGCTTTCTTTATTATTTATTCGCAACTGAGTCATTAAAGCTTTCATGGAGGCGAATTTTATTCACGTGCACACATTCCCTCTCTCTTACCTACTCTCATAGGTTTTTCTCGGCTCGGCGCCGAGAAGCGTCGATAAACCGTATAGCCGCTTTTTATTCGTAATTCATAGACGAGGGAAATTTTTCTAGAAAATTTTCGAAAATCTAGCATCTCGCAAACCGAGAGGTATCACACATAGCTCTGATCTGAGTTTCCAGCCAAGATATGCTCTCACCGCAACACTGCAACGCGATATATCCCTCGTATTCTTCCAGAAGCTGATTTACTTACTACACACACCACGTAACGATGAGCACGACCAAGTCGGACATTTCGATAGACGAGGTAAGCTCTGCATCAACCAATTTTCCAAAACTGCTGCATGAGTGGCTACGTGTGTGTCGCGCGAAACGAAACAACCGTGACCGTTTCAACGATACAACGATTTGTTCGTTCGTTAGGGAACATACGTGGGATGGATAAAATCGGCGGTGGACAGAGCGGCACGAACCTGGATCGGTCTGATCGTCCTGAAACAGATGGACACCTTTCTGTGGATCGTAGAAAAGTCCATGGAATGGAGTCTACCACGGAATGAAGGTGCTCTACTTGTGAGCTACTTGTGTACAGAGTCGAGTCACACACACACACGAGAGTAGTCACCGGCGATTAGTTGGCAGCCCGTTTTAAATCGTTTTCATTTCCATCGAATGAAATTTATCGTGTAGGGAGGTAATTCGCGATAATAACTCGCGAAATCCTAGATAGAGTTGTTTTGACAGGAATAGGGGGGGGGGGGACAGTGTTCGCGCAGCAATGCTGCGCTAATATGCAGTGCTAATATCGACGATGAAATTCGCAAATTGATATTTCAGATATTTCAGAGAACGAGGAGTCTCGGAGGGCGGACCTCGTGAGACCGATGCCGTGGCCACTTTTCTTGCCAACTCTGCTGTTTTTGCGTGTGATCAGAGCGAGCCTGAATGCGGGTGCTTTTATGCTAGGCCTCCCTCTAGTCTCGTCGGTCTCAATGGTACGTGCCACGCGGGTGCCATAGGTTTTTGCAACACGCACCTTTTGCTCCTTTAGTTTGAAGACGTTAGTGTAAAGACAATGAAAGCAAAGACGAATATATATATATATATATACCGAAGGAGCCAACTTTCGTGCCGCTGCCAATCTATAAATGTCACTCCGGCAGGTGAGATTCGTGCAGAGAAGCCGCTATCGCTTGGCAAGCGTCAGGCAAGGTAACAGGAGCAGACCGTCCGAAAAAATGAGACTCAAGCGGGACGCCCAGGTAAGACACGCGCGCGCAGCCAAGTCGTTCGTAAACCGCTAAGTCGCGTGGCTAACTCCTGGCCTGTGCCCGTAATTAGCGGAACGCACAGCAACGTTTTGCTATTTCTAAGAGAGATAATCAAATTAGCACGATAATACTCGGTCTCGGTGGTGGGTGTAGGACAAGAGATTGTCGATGTACCAGGCCAAGAAGGCCCTGATCAGATCCATTCGCTTGACCTTGTCGACTCTATCCTGCCTGGACGGATCCAAACCCTCCCTGTCACCACCGCCCACCAGAATTCACATTAGCGCCCTCGATCTCGATGCAGTAAGTAGATAATAACGGATCCGTCGTCTTCGCTCATCTTCTTAAAGCCACTCCAAGCCACTCCTCAAGTGATCACAAAAACTGCGCGAAACTTGTTTTCCAGCAGTTTTTCGCATTTCTAGATGTCTAGATTCTCGCTACCTTACTCTCGCTGCCTTACTAGTGTGTAACTTTCGGTTGCTATTTGTTCGATTGTATGATAACGATGCAGAAAACAGCGAGAGAGAAAAGCGAGCGTAATAAAAGCGGAGATAATCGTGACGAGACAAGTGTGAGACGAGAGAGATAGTGTGATTGCGAATGACAAACAACGAACTGTCTTTCAAAGGCGACGATAACTGGTGGGAAATCAGCGACGGAGTCGGCCATGAGTCCTGTTCTCGAGGAGAAGCAGAGAGAGGAGCCGACGTCCGCGACGAAATCCGATATTACCGAGACCGAGACCGAGACCGAGACCGAGGCCGAGCTGGGAAGGAACGAGCAACTCGTCGACACCTCTCACGATGTCACCATGAGCGATGTGAGTGCAGTGACTGTGGTGAAAAATGTGCCGCGCGGTACCAGAAATTAACATTCACGGTAAAGTGAAAACGGTAAAGTAAAAACAAGCGCGAACACAAGAGGATTCGATCCGGCCGCGGCCGCGTAATGGGAAAAATCTCTCCCGACAATTGTCCGTGTTCACAATGAACACGACGGTTTATTAACACGTCCGTTTTCACCGTGTTCGATATGTTTGGCGTATCGTGGCGAAGTGTGTATCTAAGGAAGGAAGAAGAATGAAACAAAGTAGTATAGAGAGACGAAATCGTTGAGGATGAAAACGCGGTATATGTTTCAAGATTGAAAAGCGAGAGAAATACGCGATAGTATCGCCTGCCAAGTATCGAGAGATCGGTTGTACGTGGTTGCGCTTGTGCTCATCTTTCTTCTTCTTCTTCTTCTTCATCGCTCGATGAATACGCACACAAATATGCATTCGTTTACTTCACGAATTTAGAGAACGACGACGAGGGGAGAAGAGAGCGGCACGGAGCAGAGCTACGACGAGCAAAATGAAGATGAGCAGAGCGACGAGGAGGGGAGCGACGATGATGAGGAGGAGCAGGAGGGTGAGAGCGATTCGGAGAGACACGGAGAGAAGGGAAAAGGCGAGGAAAAGGCCAGCAAGGTAGAGAGCGACAAGGCAGAATGCGATTTGCAGGCCGAACAGACTGGCAACTCGAACACCGAGAACAATTCTCCGGAGAAAACACCCGCCCTCAGCCAGGACAGCGACACCCATTTCTTCTCCCCGGTCGAGTCGAGCGCCTCGAGATCGAGGAGCTCGAGCGATTCGAGGGACTCGAGCATCTCGAACGGCACTCCGAGACGACCGGGCGGGGGCTCATCCTCGAATATGTCCGTTCAGAGTAAGTATGGCCCCGTATGTGTCTGAGCAGATTCCGGATACGGATTTGCGATTCTTTTCACCTTGCTTCCTCGCTCGCTCGCTCGCTCGCTCGCGACATCTGCGTGAGAAGCTGAGACTATTTCGGCTATTCGGACCAAGCATCGCTTTTCGAGAATTTCACACAATTCACACCTGCGCGCTCGTGTCATATCTCTATATACGTATTTCATTCAGCTTGCTCTTCTGCATTTGCACCTACACTTGTTGCATTTCTCATATTATTAGCCTCGCTCATACTAACTAGAACTTGCTTATATATATATATATATACATATATCTTATCTCGCTGTATTTCCTTATTAACTTTTAAGATATTTGAGATGTGTTCGCCGTGCAAGAACGCGCAAGAAACGTAGTTTCATCAGAGAGGAAATTAAATCGTGGTGGATCGAGATGGAGGTCTGCGCGGCTTTAAACTCGGATTAAGCTTTCGTTCGGTGACCTCGGCATAAGCGAAGCGATCAAAATACAATTGAAGTTAATCAGCCGCAGGAGGATAGCTGGAATCTTCGTTCGCGTCCGAAAAGATTATTTCATTGAGAGCAAAGAAGAAAGGACTAATTTTGGAACGTGCGATTTCGCGCAGCGTGCGCGCAATTAATTGCTTTGCCCCGAAGCCCGAAGCTCGCATTCTGATGTGCTTTCTGCTTGCAATACCGATTGCAATCCTAGTGCATGTATATAGGACGTTGCACGAGCGATATACATATCGCCAAATAAAATGTGGGTACATACATACATACATTCATACATACAGTACATACGATAAATACACATTTGCATGCACGCGAACGCGTTACACGATTCACGTATTACTAATGCGTGTGAAATAGGTCGCAAACTCACGAACGACAGCATCTTTGTCGAATCTGTATGTTATATTTTGGCTGTGGAAATACATTACATCTTTTCGCTTTGTATCATTTGGTTGTAAGTTGGGGGAGGGAGCAACAATATCGAATATCCCTTGCGAGCGATCTCCTTCGTGACGCATTCTCCTGCGAGATCCGCACGTAGCGAGAGAAACGTAGCAGAAACGATGTTTGCGAGATCATAAATATCCGCATTGCGAGAGCAATTTTATTTCTATGTTCGCTAGACTCCCACCAGAGAAATAGCTTAAAGAGAAGCGAGTACGGCAACGGCGAGGCGTGTTTCATCACGGAGCAAACAACATCGGGTATAATTTCATTGATTTGGCCGACGATCTAGCCGATTTTAGCACGCGCTGCATTATATACCGTTAATTTGATTCAGATCGAAAAATCGACGTAACGAAGAACCGAAGCCCCCGAGACTCGACGGGACGATCGTTCGAAGAGACCAATAATGGCGCGGTGATGGGCAAGCGCGGTACAAATGCGACCAAATATCACCACCATCACCACCGGGGTAAACGTACGAGTCACGGCAATCGCAAGAAAAAATAATCCATCGTATACGGAAACGGGATAAGACGGAAACGGGATGAGAAAGGAGCGGAAAGGAGGGAGAGAGATGGATGAGAGAGAAAGAGCGCTTCCAATATTTTCACAGAGTACGTCGAAAGGAGAGATTATTATTGGGGATACAATATCGCGGAGCGGTATCGCGAGTGTGATTGACAGTTACGCAATTGTTGAGGATTGAGATTAAGATTTGGAATAAAGAGATATATTTGTTCGCCATCACGGTCGCTGTGATAGAGAGCGGTGCCGATACGGCTATCTCGATGTGCTCGTATCAAATTCGAGTCTCTGAAGAGTTATCGGAGCCATCCAAGTTATTCCTTGATTATTACTTGGAGTACATAAAAGTGCACGCAGGATCCGCGTCGAGATCCTGAATGCGATGAAAGTTGTCGAAAAAGAGAGAGAGAGAGAGAGAGAGAGAGAGAGAGAGAGAGAGAGAGAGATCACGACTTTTTTATTTCTATTTATCGGGAAGCATGATCCAAGTCGGCCGGTCCAAAGTACTCCGTCGTTATCTCGCTCGCTCGCTCGCTCGCAGCAATCTCCCGCTGCTTTTTTCGATAATAACATAATTATAGTTTGCGCGACACGACAGAGAAAACGAAAAAGAAGCAAAGAAAGAGAAAGAGAAAGAGAAAGAGAAAGAGAAAGAAAACGAGACAGCAAGATGCACAATCGCGGAGCTTCGAATTAACTTTGTACGTTGTTTGTCGGCGTTTTTGAGAGAAATCGCATTTTTGCATTATCATCTAGTAGTCTAAAGTAATTCACGTGACACGGCAACAGTGTGATTAGTTTGACAACTGATCAATTGGAAGAAACAACAGCGTCTTGGGCTTGGGCGAATGGCCACGATAGGGCTTCGCCCAAGCCCAAGTGGTGGTCGACACAGACAGACGATGCGAGCGAGTGCATTTAAATCGCGGTCGCAATACGCGCGACCAAAGTACGCGAGTATTATCATATTTAGACTAAACACCGCGTCGCGTTTGTGAGCGTAACAATTGCATAATTCCCGTGTAATCTTGACACTGCGAGCGCTGTTTACTCTTCGATTACGCATTAATGCAGAAGTAACCGCGCGCGCGCGAGAAAATCGCGCGAGTAAAGGTGTCTGCGCTGCGTGTTATTTTTGAAGACGTTCGTCGATCGATTCTCTCTCTCTCTCTCTTCCGCCTCTCTCTCTCTCTCTCTCTCTCTCTCCATCTCTCTCCAATTGTGCAATAGTTACTAATGATAACGTCAGTAATATTATTTATACGATACCGCGCGCACACAACACACAACGCGCCTCTCTGCGGCGGCGGCGGCGGCGGCGGCGGCGGCGACGGACGCTGGTCGGATAATACGATGCGATCGATAGCGCGGTCGCAAGCGCAGTCCGGAAGCGGAATTATTGCCATTGCGCCATCGTTCGTTCACGCATCTCGTCCATTCTGATCTCGATCATCGTGTCAAATTTACAAAATCCGCTCGCGCGGATCGTCGGCAGAAACGACGTCGTAATTTATAATCCTACACACACACACACACACACACACACGATATCTACTCTCTTTGTAAGTGTACAATATGTGTACGGCCGTAATCGATCGCGAGAGATCGATTAGCTATTGTTTTATCGCTGTACCACTAGGGATTTCACGATAATAAATTATTTAATCGTACGACGAGAGATACGATACTGTATGTTATTTCGCAGCAGTCCGAAATAATAAATACAACCGGGTTAGGTCTCAACACACACACTGCTGTGATCGAGAGACAATTACATCCGAGCGACACGGGCGAAACGAGCGGGTGGAACGATAAAGTGGCCTGAATCAATAGCGCAGACGTAACGATCGATAGCTCGCCTTTGATTCTTTATCTCGCGGAGTGCAAATTTCTGCGTCGCTGAAAATTATATCGATCTTTCGTTGAACGCTGTACGCGCAAGTCGCGCGCGATTACACACCCCACCCACCTTTTCATAAAATTATTAGAGATACCGGGGCGTCCATTTTTTTTGCGACGCGCAACAACCGCCCTTATCACGCAGCGCGAGATAACGCGCGAGATTAGACCCATATGTCATAGATGTGTCCGATCGGCGGATAAACGTGTCATGGTGTCCTGGAAATTTCACGTACAAGTTGCACGGTTGCGCGACGACGACGACGACGACGACGACGATGTATTTACATGAACTAGGCGTCGCGAACGCGATCGTTTCGCCATCGATTGTCAACGTTCATACGTTCAGGAAAAGGATTTAAAAGGATATCTCCGCGGACGCGTCTCGGATTTATCTCGTCGGATAACGTGCGTGATTTTTTGAGAATTTTTTGGTCATTTCGTCATGAGCACCAGCCGATCGTACCAGCGCACTAATTTCAATCGCTGCTGATCGTCAGGATGATGATGTCGGCTTATCTGCGTGAGAATCGCTGCATAAATAAATAAATAGATAGTGAGGGAAACTCTTTATCAGTGCACTCGTAACAGGCTCTGTTCGGTAGCACTTGTCGGTTAAGCCTGGATACTTCATCTCGAGGGTCTCTTGTCATTAACAAATTGTAAGGTACAACTGACTGTCAAGTAGCAACAATTGACCGATAATCTCACAGTCAGGCCCTCGTCTATCTCTCTCTCTCTCTCTCTCTCTCTCTCTCTCTCTCTCTCTTGTTTAAAGAACAGAGTCGACAGAGTCCTCTCCACGATTATATTTCATTTGGTTTTCGTTGTTTCTCAAATTTTCCTTTCGACGACAGAAATTCAGCAGTCACACACAGCGTTTCGCGCGGTTGACGACGACCACGATGAGACGTAACGAAAACCGACATACCGACAACCGAAACGCGCAATTATCCCCGCGACAAAATAACACTGATAGTGATAACGAGAAAAGAAGGAAACGGAAAAAATACAATCTAGTGCGCTGCAATTGCGCTGCGTCAGCTTCGGCCTGGTGGAAAAGGCGGCTTGGTACAAGATCCCAACGTAAATCACTATCGATATCTCGGAATCGCATTACACGTGGTAGAGATACTACAATCTGTAATTTCACTCTTTTTTCCTCGCGCCTTTCCTTCTCCGACTTCACGACTGGGCATTCACGAATGGCGCGGAAATATATATTTTTCAACAAGATTTCGCAACGCGTGACGCGCAAAGCGCGAATTTGGAGACGTGCATTTTGCACAATCGCTATTTGCGATTGCAAATCTCTTTTTCCCATCTACATCTATATATATATATGTATATATATTATGTATATATATTATGCGTAAGAAATAAATAATTAAAGAGGAAAAACAAAAGTGCAAAATAAAAGTCAGAGGTTGAAAAAATATCGATAAGAGGACACACGTATATTTTTGGGACGCGTTTAAATATTTAGCACAAAATCGCCAGTACGCTTATGCAAATGCGTATTTTGCTGTCCGACCGATGAAGATCGAAAAGACTCGATAATATTTCGGCTCCCCCGACACACGCTACGATTTGCGGTAGTCAAACTAATCTATGTAGGCTGTTATCACACACAGATAACGTTGCCGGAGCTCCTATCAGGTAGCCATATTTTTGATGCAATATATAGGTGATCGATATATCGCCACATAGTTCTCAGTGAGGCGGCCATCAGTGAGTTGAGCCACAGAGTACAACCGAGCGCGCTCTCTCCTTTAATAATCTCCGTTAATAATCCCGAATAAGAGAGAGAGAGAGAGAGAGAGAGAGAGAGAGTGCCAAGTTATCACGTCATTAATTACAATTAATCACTGTACGAGAGTACGAGAGTAAGGGAGAAACGAATGAGCAGATTCGCGAATGTTACCCGCGATCAAGATATCCCGTGATATCTCTTAATCGACGGCGGTCAACGACGGACACCGTCGGCGCGAATTGGCGTGAAACGCGAGCTGGAAATTGCAAAAGTTTATTCGCGAGTCCGCGAATAAAGTCGCTGCGCTAAAGCAACGAGATCGAGGAGAAATTTTCGCGGTGTCTCCGCGAATGAGACCGCGGATTTTCTTCTGACTCTGAGACGCGCGGATTCTGTCACACGGAGGACGTATCTCTCTGCAACGTTTCGTTTATATCAGAGACACAGAGATACCGACGGGTGAGAGAGAGAGAGAGAGAGAGAGAGAGAGAGAGAGAGAGAGAGCGCACGCGCGCGCGCGCGCTGCTCGTTAGCCGAGATTTCGAGAAAAAGAGGAGAAGGAGGCTGAGAAAAATGGCAGCCGGTTACGACGACTGTTACGACACTTCCTGGCATTTAATACCGCCGGACTACGTCAGCAACGAGGAAGATTACAGGTAAAAGCTCAGCGAAAAGTACTTTTTGCTTGCGAGTGCTTTTTCGTCGCGAAAATGGCGGCCGGATGTTCTCTGATGTTTACGCCGTCTCCTATAACGGAGACAATTGGATCCCATTGGTTCAATGTCATATTTGACGGAATGTGCAGGGTTAATGTGTGCGTGTGTGTGTGTGTGTGTGTGTGTGTAGAAACAAAATTTCGACTCGATTATTTCCGCTTCGTTCGTATGGGCGGCGATTAACATATCTGATTATGCGAATAACGCCGTGAAAGCGAGCGGAAGCGAGCGTTTAAGAGCAGTCACGCATATCGGGTTAGGCGAATCCTCCGACGTAGAGTGGTACGCCTTGTTACACACTGGGACACATACATGAGAAGCGAGAGTGCCACGTTGTGCCAACACCTGTTGGTTTCCATCATAAATTTCGGATTAATCGTATTCGCGATGCGATTCTACTACTTTGCCCCGTTCGTTGCACCTGCGGCATTGCCGTCGAATCGGAATCGCGCCGTCCAAGCGGACAATCGTTTAACAAAACACTGAGAGAGAGAGAGAGAGAGAGAGAGAGAGAGAGAGAGAGAGAGAGAGAGGTGAACGAGTTTCACGCTTCTAAAAAATACAGGTGTTAGGGTCTAGTACGTGATCATCTTTTCGAGCCACAACTTTGATCTCGAGCGAAACGAGAACAAGCGAGAGCGACGTTCGACAAAGAAACCATCAAGCCGTACTTGAAATCTTTTAAATATTTTCTAAACCGTCTTAGTGGCCGGTCAATCTTAAACACGGCGCAATGCGTCCGGATCACGTCTGTCCCTGGCCGTTTGACTAGTGTTTGACTCAAACGTGACCGCAGTTTAAAAGTGTGACTCTCGAGTCTGTACCCTCTTCAGTAAGAAGAAGAACCGAAAGAAGGACCCTCTCGGGGATTCTCCAATGCTACGCGTACTACGTTCATTCAAATCGCTACCGTCGATCCTTTGTGCCGACTTTATGAATGAACGTAAAACTCCCGTCTTTCCCCGTCGCTTTTTTCGAGCGGATTCCGCGGCCGGTCTTTTTGTCCACGTCCAAATCAGGTGGTTCTGACCAAAAGAGAGATATCTCAAACGTTTGGAAAAAAATGTAACGTGTCCTGTTACTGCGACTCGGCCTCGTGCCGAGAGATTCGTGATTCATTCCGATACTTTTGAAGTGCGCAAACCTGATCGGCAATCCTGATCCCGAGACTCGAATTGGGACCTGCACGTGTGACTTTCGACCAAAAAAGAAGAAGTGGAAACGCATTTCACGGCCGCTTGTTTCTCAGCGATACATTACAAAGGTGCCAAATAAGAGAAGAAAAAAAAGAAAGATACCTGTGCCGAAACACAGGTGGAGGTAGGAAGATGAAAGAGGATGTGCGGAGAGAGAGAGAGAATCTTTTCATTTCATATTTCGAATAGCAGGTTTCTGTCGTATTTTATAACCCCCCCGCCCGCCCCCGCCTGCCTCCCCCCGCCTGAGTCAGAGCCACTTGAATCGGTACTCGAGAATGACCGTCGTCGTCGGCTCGAGTCTGGTCAAGCTACTTGAGTCAGTTTGAAACTCAAATTCGACCGTGTCGTACCTTGCCCTTGACGTTTGTGAATAACGCCCCGAGCGCAAACTAACTAACGACCGCAAGACGAAGAAGGAAGATCTAACACGGGAAGTGTAGTCACAAAGTGATGATAAATAAGGACCGCCGACGTGACAAGATGTTTTTGCTAGAGATTTCTCCGCAGGATCAGCAGGTATATCTATATTGTATTGTTAATGACCAGACCAGATGAAGCTTAGCATCCGCTAAACGACGACGACGACTACCATTCACGGAGGCACGTTTTTGCTCTTTCACAACAAAATCGCTGCGAGGAGGTATCGAGTGGCCCATTCGGCAATCGGGTCCTATAAGACTCGAGTCGGTGCTGAAACAACTTTGTCTACGAGAGCTCGTCGGAACGCTCCCTTTATTCTTCCTTTATTCTTCTGAAGCAGCTCTCTCTCGAGCGGAGTGCGAGCTAGTAATCCAACCGTCGCGTCGGATCATCGGAAGAACGTCGTTTTATTCGAGACGGAATTTTCAATGCCAACGCGGAGAATGAAACATTGCACGTCGACGGCTGCAAGCTGTACGATTATTTATGCTTATGCGATGTATCCCGAGGCTGATAAATTTCTCGATCGATTTCTCGCGGTACTTGGGAGGATTCGCGCGCGCCGCGCCGCGACGCGGTGGACGCTGTCCACCGATTAACGCGAGCAACGAGTTAACCGTTGCGGTTAACGGTAAACCGAATTCATTCGAGATTCGAGCGCACTTTTTCTCTCTCTAGAGCGAGGGTTATTTGAAAAATAATCGAATCAATGGCGGATGATCGGTTAATCACTATACATCGCACACGATAGTTTCTAGTCTCAAATGATAAAAGTCGTAGCGGAGCGTCTAGCGATCGCTCATAATCGACCGCGTGGATCGCGCGGTAAAACCGCGGCTATTCGACGATGTTATTAAGCTAGAAAGCTCAGGAAGACTCCACTCGATCATTGGAGGGTTGCAATAATTTGCGGCACGATCCCCTCGACGGTGTCGACCGGTTTCATGGTAGCAAAGAAAGAGAGAGAGAGAGAGAGCAACGACACTGCGAACGGCGAAGCAACGGCCGAGGCAGTAAAACAATGAGACGCAGACAAATTGGGTTGCGTGCTCGAAACAAGTTGGCACAGCTATCGCCAAACAGTCGTGGGAGCACGGCAAATGTTGCTCGATTGCCCAGAGCTCGAGACTCCTCCATTTTTTCCCGCTGGCGCTCGGAACTTCCGGGACGAGCGCGGGTCGAGGAGAGGCGAAATCGAGGAAAAACGACAAACGTCTCGCAGGGTTGGTGCCTGCTTACATCGGTTCTCTCTCTCTCTCTCTCTCTCTCTCTCTCTCTCTCTCTCTCTCTTCCTCTTTGTCTCATCCAACACACGATTCTAACCGAGTTAGACGATGCACCTGCAACGGGGCAATACCGCGCGTATCTTTTGTCTGTGAACCCTTCTCCGCCGCGATAGAATTGTAAATAATTTGTCCAAGTATAACGTTACCTCTCGCGTTTCGATACGTGTAAAATGTCGATAAATCTCTTATCGGTGTTGTAATATTGATATATCGATCACCTGATATGTCTTGCGTATCTCACGATGTGTGATATAAAGAGAGAGAGAGAGAGAGAGAGAGAGAGAGAGAGAGAGAGAGGGAGAATCCTCTTTTCCTCTTCCTTAAATAAACGTTAAACACAAACGATGATATTTCTATCTAAATTATTGCTTCGCACCTTCGCAGACGAGGTGCATTTTCGATAAATGTATAAATACGACTGCAACATATAATATCGGTCGTATCGGTAGCTCGAGGTGGCTAAATGCTCCAGTTGTTGTATTTCCCACCTCACCCATCTCGATAGCTGGAAATAGGACAGGCGTCTTTGCAGCTTCCGACAGAAATTTTCATTCTTCCAGCGAGTAAATTCCGGCAGTCGAAACACGACTATGAGAAAATCAGAAAAGTCGGGACACGACCCTCTTCCGTAGTTTTTGACTTTCTCAGTGTGCGAAGACCCGCGTGGTTGTATAGAGAGGCCGGTTTGAATAAACCGGAAACTCGCTCCATCGTCTCAGCCCTGTCCTTTACCTGTTCCTCTCCTCAGAATCGCGCGACTTTGGAACCCTCATTTTCGTGCTCGCGTCGGTACGCGTGTGCGTTTATTGTTGAGTATTCACGTTCAAATGTGTTCTCTCTCTCTCTCTCCCTCTCCCTCTCCCCTCCTCCTTCTCTCCCTCTCTTTTAGCGATTGGATACAACCTGCTATTCTATTCAGCGAGACGCACAATTCCGACAAATCGTCTATTTCGGATAGTTGACTCGCTCCGGAGATCAAAGGTATGTTTAATCGCTGTAAACGGGGCTACCTAAACATCTCCTTAAATTGCAAACGATATCGGGAAGCGTTTGAAACACATTTCGGGATTCGGAGAGAAACGAACATTCATCCGCGTACATCCGCGCGCGTCTGTATCGTCTCGCATTTCCGACAATACTTTGGCATCTTTGGTCAATCAATAGCGTCACGCGTAATACATATTACGCGTAGACATACAATAGGGCGACGGACATTATCGCGATAATATTTTATTTGCGATCGAGCCGCGTCGCGTCGCGGAAAAAAGGTCACCGAGCGATGTTGATTCGATTGAATCGCGGTCTGCGGAATTCCGACGGATCACAAACGCGCGCGCAATGTATGATAACGCGCTTTATTGCTCCGCGACCGACGTAATAAACGCGTGTCCGCGAATAATAAGTGGGTAGTGCAAAGAAGAAATCAGGTCACACTGGCCTGGTCGTTGCGCCGACAGCGACGTGTTCCTTCGCGCGAATTCGCGATTATCGCGGGAAAAAGAAGCGATAAGTCACCGATTGTCACGCACGTGTGCGCGCGAACGTAATAAACGCTTCGCGGTAAAATTAGCCGCTGTAGCTGTAGCCTACTTTTCGTTACCATTCGGGAAAAGAATCAATTTGAAGAACTTTGAGCAGACGTTCGAAAGACGCCTTGGAGATCGCCTCGAGAGATGCACGTATTATTTTTACCATTTTAAATCTTTTTAAGTCTCTTGGATATCTCCGGGATATATTTTGCGGGGTATACTTGCGATATCTGAGGCGTAGAGTCGACAATGCGGAAAAATAAATATAATTCATTTGAAATAGCCGGCGGGGGAGAGAGAGAGAGAGAGAGAGAGAGAGAGAGAGAGAGAGAGAGAGAGAGAGAGAGAGAGAGAGAGAGAGAGAGAGAGAGAGAGAGAGAGTGAGTGAGAGAGAGTGAGAGAGAGAGAGAGAGAGAGCGGACTCCTGTAAAGTCGAACGTACCTCCTTCTCCATATCCGTTCAATTTGTACCCTTGATTTGTACCTTTGACAGGCCACGTAAACGAGCCCCTGAAAGAGGACCATGTCGGTCGTGATCATACGTCCATCTCGTTTACGTAACATCTCGGTCGTAAGCAAGCGCGGACCGCGCTTCTAACCCAGTTTTGTGTATCAATAGACGGCGATCTGAGTGCCGGTGGCGACGGCGGCGGCGACGATGGGGAGAGAGAGAGAGAGAGAGAGAGAGAGAGAGAGAGAGAGAGAGAGGGAGAGAGAGGGAGAGAGAGAGGGAGAGAGAGGAAGAGAGAAGGAGAGAAAAGGGGCACGGCGAAAGGGAGCGGGTGAGAAATCGAAATGACACAGTAAAAGCACCGCTAATGCTCTTTCACATTAACACTCGACGTAAAGTATGCTCTCGGTGTAAAAAGCCCTGATCGATGAAGCCCGGTGATTGGCCGGCTCGCTCGGCAGGATTGAAATCAACCCCCGGACTGTCGGCCGAGGGTTTCCCCGGCACGAGGCCGTCTCATTGGTCGAGCGACGGCACCACCCCTTGGTAACATAGCCCGGTGGTAACGCGTTACCAGTCGTATCGAGTCCCGCAAGTGAACAAGGGTTGCTCTCTTCGTAAGCGGCCAAAGCCCGACCTCGGGTGGGTGAGGATCGTGTTAGCCGTTTAATAATAATCGAACACATGAGAGGACGACAAGAAGAATAAATATCCCGAGGAATTGATTTTGTCCTCGTTTGTCAGTGTTACGCTGAGAATTCGTCGAGAGAATCTCTCTCTCTCGGCGTGCCGGGATATTCGTCGGGGGGGGGGGGGCGAGGAGGGGAGGAGGACTTTAGGGCGCAAGTTCGTCCTGCGGATTCAAATGAATCGCTTTGCGGATTTATCCGATTGTCAGAAGAACTCGAGTTCTTCGATCGTGGGTCGCGACCGAGGCGCGTCGCGACAGAGACGGTCGCATCCGACTTTCGAGCGAAACGAACGAAACGAAAAGTGAACTAAACGGTGAACGGCCGCGCTCGCTGCGTTTTCCTATTTCAAGCCCTTCCTCCCGCTCTCCGGGGGAACGTTTCCGTAATTCACCACTGTGGTGTCGTCGGCAGGGTGGGAATAGAGCGAGGGATGAAGGAGAAATCTCCGCCTCCAGCGGCAGAGAACCGCCCTCCGCTTCGAGGGTGCTTGACGAGGGAAACTGCACGGAGGTAGGGAACACTAGCCGTCAAGTGCTCGTCGAGGATACTCAAAAACTACAAGAAGAGTCCTTCAGCAGCTCCGAAAAGGAATCGCCGACCTTTTCGAGTTTTCTCTCGCCCCGACTCTTTGCGTGTGACTCTTTGCGAGAGACGGGCTCTCTCGTCACAGTGCGTTTCGCTGACTGACACTTTGTCTCCCTGGAAGCGAGGAATTAGTTACGATAGTGTTGATGGTGTGCGACAAAGGTGGAGAAACTAGCCGTGTGTGTGTGTGCGTGTGTGCGTGTGTGACACACACGGCAGGCTCGAGAATATTCGAGGAACAGTGATATAGGAGGATTGAAAAGTAAGGCGTGCCTTTCTATCTATCTAAAGGCAGAGTATTATCCTTTGTTTAAATGTTGTTGAAACGCGCGCAGGCGCGCGTGCGAGAATGAGAAAACCCGAAAGGATGAAATATATTCGATAAGGAATCCGGAGTGCGGTTTCTTTTTCTTTATCGAGTGAATAAGGTAGCGATAAGGAGCAAGGTTGAAATAAACAAGAAAAAAGTTGGGGTGAAAGTGAGGAAGAAGAGGAGCTGTCGGAATTGAGATTCAATCGCCGCGATTCCACAGTCGCGATCGCAAGAGAAGAAATTATAAGCGAGCATTAGTGCGTGTGTCGAGAAAAGAGAGAGAGAGAGAGAGAGAGAGAGAGAGAGAGACTTTTGTAGCGAGGCTCCTCGCTCTTGAAAATAAACCATCGATGTAACATGTACTGACGCCAGTAATAATCCTTCAGAATCTTCTCAAAATGGCGGACAAGAATAAGGTAGAAAAGATTCTACCCTGGCCGATTATACCGTATCCGATCAGTGTTTGGAATCAGCTCTGGTGTAATCAGCTCGTGTTGAACCCTAGGTAAATGAAATGATTAAAAGGACAACGTATTCGCCTCTTTTTCTTTTTCATCTTCTACCTCTTCTTCTTCTTCTTCTTCTTCTTCTTCTTCTTCTACCTCTTCTTCTTCTTCTTCTTCTTCTTCTTCTTCTTCTTCTTCTACCTCTTCTTCTTCTTTTTCTTCTTCTTCTTCTTCTTCTTCTTCTTCTTCTTCTTCTTCTTCTTCTTCTTCTTCTTTTTCTCCTTCTTTGAACGAAACGCGCTTACTTACGTAATTTCATAATCGACCGGGTAGTATCTGAGAGAACAAAGATACAGTTGTCAAGATGCACACACATGGCAAAGTAATGGCAAACAAACGCGTTCGACAAAGATAAAGAGCCGCAAAAGAAAGCTCGCATTTCGTTTAATGACAGTATCTTGACACACGATCGATCGCAAAGAGATCTTGATGACCCTCAAATTCTTACACGTGGTCTCATTAAGACACGCTATCGTGGCTCGATATCCGGTCGGTTATCGGTCTCCTTGATATTCACCGCTCGTCGCTCATCGCTCGTCGATTAAAGCTTTACACGCGACTTTGAAAAATCGCCGCCCCAATCACCGTTTGCTCTTTACATTTTGCGCGGACGCGCGTCAGCCAGGGCGGAAGTATTTAATTTTTATAGCGTGAAAAGAGCGTGAATTCTTCACGGGTCTTCTCCCATCCGTGTGCCGCGACAAATTTCCTACTTGGATTCGTCTCATCCATTGAGATGCATCGACGAGGAACGACAAGTTAAAGTCGCGAGTGACTTCAACGCTGGCACCGCCAGCGTTGAAATAATTAGCAGCTCCTCTCAAAGCGTCAAAGGGCAAGGTGTCTTCTCATGTCGATATTTCTCATGTAAAGTTGCGTGCAGTTTTCATTACGAATCGAAAATAGAGACGAGGGAACGAGGGTGAAGGAGGGAGATTTCAAATCATACGACGACAGAGAATATACACTTGTGTGTGCGTATTAGCCGTACGAAGCTGTGTCCACACACACGCACATGCACGCGCGCACACACACACACACACACACACACACACACGTCTCATCACGCATCGCGCATCACGCATTATTTCATTCCATCATAAATTTCCCAGCTGCGTGTTCCCGTGTTCCGTGATATTATGTCTTTCGAAAGCCTGCGAGAGATCGGAACGTTCGCGCGAAGCGTGATTTATGTCGAAACCGTTCGAACAAAAAGAACGCCCGAGCGTGTCGCGATAAAGCCCGCGCGGATTAGAGAAATCAGGTACAGAAGAATTCGCTTCTGTGCACAGGTCTCTTTCTCTCGAGGAGACAGGAGGACAGGTTGTTTGAGATTGAGCTCGAGCAGGTATTGGTCTTTTGAAGACACGTCTAAATCGGATCTTAAAGGGCAGGGGACCGCTTCTTGGCTTCTTGACGATCGTCGGACGATACTTCCGGCCGCGCGCGCGCGCGCGACAGCTACTTTGATAATTGGATTGCCACGTCGAAACGCCAAGACTTTGCGTCCGTTCGTGCAGATTTCTGAGCGCAGATTCGCTGAGATCGTGTCGCGGACAATCCGCGATTATATCCGCGCGATAGACGAGAACGTTTCGAGTCGAGTCGAGTCGAGTCGAGTCGAGTCGGTCCTGCGACGTGACACTCGCTCGTTGAAAGCACGCAGCGATGCGCAGGACAAATAAACGCCTGAGATTGTTGGTGTCGCGTCGAAAAATGTCTTGATGCACGTAATCGTCAATACAGGTTGCTGGAGGGTTGCATCAAAGTACCGGCGAGGGCTTCCAGCTTCCACATCAGCGATATCTTGGAATTAAATGACAACAAGCCGTCGCAAGAGGAGGCAAATGTGCAAGGTTGTAAGAATGCGCGTGAAATCTCTCACCGTGTGTTAGTAGTATATGATATATGATATATATATATATATATAGAGATTTGCGATAAAAAAAAGTGAGCGCAATGGGAAAAACGCGAGACTTTCGCGAGTATTCTTTGCAAAATATCCCCGCGTATGAATATACCCGGCGGGTGGGAAGTTTCAATGCGGAATTCGTGCGCTCCAGGTGCTACGACGGTCCTACCAGCGGCGAGCGACATGCCGTCAGCTTACCAGCAACTCCTGGAGCACACGTCTGCTATGCTCCAACCGGCTATGCACGCTAATCTGACCAGGAGTACGCTGCCACCTCCGCCTGGATTATTAGGTTGGACAACGGGACCGGCACTGCCGACGGCGTTACCTCAACCCCTGGAGGAAGTGAATGGTGAGTGCGCGGACAGGGATTATATCTATCCATTGCCTCACTTAACGCGCGTACACATTCCATCGCCATGGTCGCAAACGCGAACGAAACGACGCGATCAGGATGCGATCAGGATGCGATCATTTCTCTCTTCCGCTTTCTCCTTCAACTCTTTCTTCGACTCTTCGAAAAAACGTGTAAAACTTCATAAGCGCGCACGCGCGCGAGACGTCGAAATTTCCCGAAAACCCGTTCCGAATGTACGTATCAGAGCGTCATCAATCGCGAGTCATGAGACCTGACCCGTTCCGTGCGCCTTCGTGCGCCTGCGAAGATACGTCGGCTCTTTTCTTCACGCCGACGTACGCGTAGAAAGGGCGCGCACACGCACGCCTTCGCGGGCGGTCGGAGAAAGCGATGGGGTCGCGCGATGGAGACCCTTATTTATTTAGCACCCTACAATTGGTCCGCGAGGGTTAAGCAGGATCTAATGGTTCTGTAAAAGGTCCTCGTGGATACCGCTCCGCGATTGGCTCCGCGAGGGGGGACAGATGTCGCGAGGAGAGGACAGATGTGTGCGCCCGAGGCCCCAGCTCGGGCCCTTCGATTCAATCGGGATCGTCACGCCCAAAAAATTCGCCGCCGACCTATCCGCTCTCTCCGCGCGAGAGCCTTCGCTCTCGCGCTCCTTTATCTCCCTTTCGCGGTCACGGTTTTAGACCGTGACCACTGGGAAACCGTTCGCTCGCGCGAATAATCGCGCGGTGCGGTAGCGGGTCAGGGGAGGAGTGCGAGAAACCGAGCGAATCTTCTTTCTATCGGGTGTTTGGTATCGTTAGTAAGATGAGCGAGACTCCGCGGTCCGCGGAAAAGAGAGAATTTGTCGGAGAAAGGAGCACTCGAACACTGAGAAGAAGATCTCCTGGAGAATCTCTGGAGAGGATAATGCGCGCGCGCGCGCGCGCGCGCGCGAAAGTGTGGGAATTGACAAGAGAAGTGAAGCGAATTATAATTCGTCGTAAGAAACTCGAAATTTCTCGAAATTTAGTTGGTTATTGAAGAGAGATCCCTCATTATAAAGCACACGCAACGAGGAACGGATCTTCGGAACGGGAATTCCGGGTTAGAAAACGCGCGCGCACGATAAATCCCTTCCCTTTCGAACCAGGCCGCGCGACGTCTTCCTTCGGAGACACCAGTCTTTCCTCTGGCGAGTGTCTAATTGAAATCGCAGCGCGACTGCGAGAGAGCGCGGTCTAATCTCCCATGAAAATGATACGGTTGATCCCGTGGGGTTCGTGTGGCGCGGGGCGCGGGGGGTGGGGTGCCAAATAGGCTTTATATTGGTTCACACCCTTCCCCGGCGAGGCCGAGCGGGCTCGGGGCTCGGGGCTCGCTCGCGAAAGCATATTGTATTACGGCGGAAGCCGCCGCTAACCGACGCTGTACCGATTAAATTAGCCCGCTGGGGCTGATCTCTCTCGACCGGGTAGCCGAGTTTACATTTACCATCTGGTCGTCGATTATTGCAAATCAAAATTTTATATAATGCAATCCCCCATGTATCGCTCCGACTACTTGGAGAAAAAGGGACACCACCACCGGTAAAGAGGTAAAGATCATCTCGACTCTTTACAAACGCTTGAACGTTGAAATGCTTCCGCATCCTAGAGTATTATTGGATACGGATGGTGGTTGGGTCTGTCTGTCGAGATTTAGCCCGTTAACCCTTCGGTCGGCGATGATTAGGAAAACCATTAAAAAGAATCGATGCAGGCGTGCATCTGCCGACTGCTAATCAACGCTAAGAGCGAGGCCGGCTGAATCGAGTAGCTTGCAGCTGCACTGTGCGTTACCGATGATGCATGCGATTGAGCAATTGAGTCGGTCGATTATCATGCGCGATTATAATAGTCTGTCTATCTAATGTGTGTCTCTCATCGCCCACCACTCTCGCTCCAGCACAATACGATTTCAACGATGATCCGCAATCGCTGCGACTGCGCTCAGACGACGCAGAGATTAACGGTAAAGGAAAGAATGAGGAAAAGGAAGAAAGATTCGAAACCCCTCGTGTACATAGGACACGGGCTTCCTTCACCAACTACTCTCTGTCCCGACTGCACCGCAAACTGCTTTGCGAAGATCGCGCGCGCATTTGGTTAGGACGTCGACGCCGACGCCGACGCCGACGCCGACGCCGACGCCGACGCCGACGCCGACGTCGCGGTAACTCTTGTTTCGTCATTTGGTCTTTCAGTCCTCCAGCAACCGGACTCGACGAGCCCGGCGATTTCGGACCTGTCGTTCCCGTCGCAGCAGGAAAACAGCCACGAATCAAAGGACGAGGAATCGCAGGATTTCGAGGACGAGCAGCAGGGTAACGAGACACAGACGCACGAGACCGAGCATAAAAAGCGCAAACGGCGAGTGCTGTTCTCCAAGGCGCAGACCTTCGAGCTGGAACGGCGCTTCCGTCAGCAGCGGTACCTCAGCGCGCCCGAACGCGAGCACCTCGCTTCCATCATCCGGCTTACGCCGACCCAGGTGAAGATCTGGTTTCAAAATCACAGGTACAAGACCAAGAGAGCGGCGAACGAGCGCGTCGAGGCCAGTGGCAGCGGCTGCTCGCCCAGGCGAGTCGCCGTCCCGGTGCTGGTGAGGGACGGCAAGCCCTGCCAGTCCAAGATGATGGAACCCACGGCGTATCCGGGACCCGGCGGCCAGGTCCCCATGGGGCCGTACATACAAAAGTACTGGTGGTAGAAGAACAGAAGTGACGCAGCGGCCCGTGGATGGCTCTTCTTCTTCCTCTTCTTCTTCTTCCTCTTCTTCTTCTTCTTCCTCTTTTTCTTCCTCTTCTTCTTCCTCTTCTTCTTCCTCTTCTTCCTCCTCTTCTTCTTCCTCTTCTTCCTCCTCTTCTTCCTCCTCTTCTTCCTCCTCTTCTTCTTCCTCTTCTTCTTCTTCTTCTTCTTCTTCTTCTTCTTCTTCTTCTCCTTCTTCTCCTTCTTCTTCTTCGAGGGCGATTCGGAGTGGTGGGACCATCCGATCGAGAACACCCGAGATCGAGATCGGGCACGAGAGAGAGAACGGGCGAGAACGAGCTGGGCGACAGCGAGAGACTCTCACGAGAGCCGGACGAAGTGGAGGCGACGAAACGGCGACTCGACGGTATCGAGCGATATGACGATAGTGTGTGTAATGACTGTCGATTAATTCATCTGTGTTAGCCACGCTAGTGTCTCAGTGGATAAGCGTTTAGTAGTTGAAAATGGGAGGAGATGGGAACAACTTGCGAGCACCTTCGGCCATGTATCTGCCGATTATGCCAATGAATACTCTAATCGCGACGATTGTCGGACGCCGCACCGTCGCGCGCGCGCGCGCGCGTACGTCATGTACGTAGCGAGATAGCTAAATCGTAGTAACTCAACAAGATCATTCACAGTGAGTTTGACCATAACGTACATTTGGAACGGCCCACTTCCGCGACAGTACAAAACTTGCTTTGGTCATCGAGCATTTCGTGAACCCTCACCTGAGATTGTGAACGCGCGCGAAATTCTAGCGAACGAAGCAACAATCTTTCAGACTACCAACACATGTTTTGAGATACGTAATCTTCTTAGGTATGTATTTACCATATGCTGAACACGTCGATGAGCCTCTGCTGGATCGATCGCTCATGTGCGACGAATCTTGAATTCTTGAAGAACGACGCGATCGAATTTCTTCGTGTTTCCAAAGAGCAAACACGTCACGATATGCCAGTTCACTAAATATCACGGGAATATCTCGATTCGCGCGAGTTCACGAGTGTTTAGCAATTAGAAGACGATATTGACGATTCAGGAGATGGTGATGAATACATACATACACACACACACACACACACACACACTGTCTCGGGAGATTTCCCTATTAATGTTAGTAGACGTATCAGTAAGAGCGCAAAGTTATCGAGACATAATTTCAGACAGGGAGCGCCGCGTCGCGAATTTAAGGCGCGACTATAGATAATTAGCAAACTTCTTCGAGGGGCAATCGCTGCGCGGCCAATTGCAATTTCCGCCTTCGGCGGAGAACTCTTGCATTGATATTTATGAAGAAGAAATTAGAAGCACAGTGCGAATATACTGCAGGATACCAAAGATTGTTCGCGTCTAACCAACTATTCACGTGAATAGATAAGTGAATAATTAAGTAGATGTAAGAAATCTATAGCGGAAGAATCCTCTCCGTTCTTCTCTAAACGAATGGATGTTGCGCTCGCGTACAAAGTCAAAGTACGTTTGTACAAAAAATTGTTACACGTTATTATACCTTACGAAGGATCACGTAGACGTTGAAATTAGTCCTTAGAACGCGGCCCTTGATCGCGGCGGAAACGTATACATCACGCGCAGTAGACGCGAGGGATTGCGATTGGATCCTGAAGCGCCGTCGTACGTCGGAAACGATTTCGACACACAACATCGGCTAACTTCTTATCTTGATATCGTAAGATAATCGAGCGCTCGCGTATCAATCGCGATAATTCCTTTCTAATGAATCGTAGGCACACGTAAGATGAATTACTGCCAACTATTTGAGGACTGAATTTGTGACTCAATCGCGGTCCGTTGATAGACAACCGATCGAGGAGAAATCATTACGGTACAACTCACGTTTGACGTTTTTTCACGATTCAACTAAAAAAAAAAAAAAAAAAAAAACGTGGTTCTTCTTCCTTTTCTCTCATTGTGTCATGTTGTCCGAAAACAACATAGTTATAATATTTGATAAATTCTCCAGAGTAAAAATCTGTACTCTTGCGAATTTAACACTACAGAGTTGGATATATATCTCGGAATATCTCTAGATTCTTTTCTCTCTCCCCTCCCCCCTCCTCTCTCTCTCTCTCTCTCTCTCTCTCTCTCTCTCTCTGCATTTGGTCAATGATTTCAAAATTTCTTTTGCAGATTGTTATCCTCAAGTTGAGAGTTTGTTGAAATCTTAAAAATATACATTGACAGAACGATAATACCAGTAACGTTTAGACTTTCGAAGTGCTGAAGTTTGAATAAATATTAATACACGATGTTCGACGTTGACGATTGAACAATGTATTTAGTGCGAAGTAGTCGGACAGTTGAATGTAAAGTTGCGACACCGCGAAAAATCGCAAAGATATCCCAACTTTTTGTGCTTAATCAATTAGTTGATAATATGTAGGTTGTATATATGTACATTGTGTATGATACATAGTAAACTAATATATCAGATATTTAATAAACTTGTGAATTTCTCTCTTTCTCTCAAGAGAAAGAAAGAGAGAGAGAGAGAGAGAGCATGAATCTTACGTTCTCTATCTTTCTCTCTCTTTCTCCCCCAAATGAATCTCGCTCCAAAACGATCTTTCACACGTCTGCCTCGACTTTATCTTCTAATTTACGCGAGATGCAAATCGAAAAATTCTAACATTTGTGTGCGTCCCAATGAAGAAGACATTTATATCCGACCGAAAAGAAAATCTTTCCGATATCCGTGTGTATATTCGTTTGGTTCGTCTTGTTGATATTGTTTATTCGTCACGAAATTTCGAAACGCGAATAAACAGATCCTCGGCACGCATTATTATTGTTCGTGGATGTAAATGTCGAAGAGCAAAAGTGCAAAAATAAAGATTTCAGTGCGCTAATCGTACAATCACCACTTTTCTTCCACTTTTCACGGTGAATATAACGAAACAATACACCCGAGACAATCCCCCCCGTTACCCCTTCTCTTTCTCTACCCCCCCCCCCTCGACCGTGTTCCAGGAGCGCTTCCCTTTTTCGGGACACGCCGGAAGCTCGCGTAGCTTGAGTGACAAGCTTCCGGTTTCCGTTTCCGAGCAGCCATCTTGTTACCGGTTTAGATTTCCTGAGGGCACCCCATCGAGACTCGATGGGGGGACCGCGCGTTTGACTTTTGCAACCCCCAGAAAAACTTTTCATTATTACAGAGTATGACGTGAGCACACGCATGTCGGGTAACATCTTTCATCGAGACCTGGACTCGAGCCTCTCTCTCTCTCTCTCTCTCTCCCCCAATTTCCCTTTTTCTCTTATCTCTGCCACTATTCCTTTTCGCGCAATCGAGATCCGCGATCGCAGCGCGCGTCTTATCGCGCGAGTCGCATAATAACATACGTCCGCATTTATCAGATTTGAGAATTTGATTAATCAGCATGGGTTTCGTGACTCGACCTCGAAGCTCAGTAATCAGCCTCGAAAATCAATGATCAACAATTGCGTTTATCTCGGCGAATTATCAGGAGATGAAATTATTATCAGTTATATATCTCGGCGAAAGTTTCTACCACCTCGGCAACTTTAATTATTCCGCTATCTTTATTATTTTCGTCGGCCGGATGAAAGTGCGAGCGTACTCTCGTCGTCGTCGTCGTCGT